ATTAGCATAATTTTGTTATACCCCACCCACCAAAAATACAACAACACCATTTATAATCTTTTCCTTTTTTTTGGGGGGGGGGGGGTGTTATTGCTTAAAATGTTCAACTCGAGTGACTTTGGTTTGCCAATTAATGCACATCTTCCTTAACCAGTGTTAACCCCGGGGTAATATCAAGGAGAATGAAATGATCGTCAGTCTTTAACTGGATAAGAAACGATGGTTATAAAAACACGGGGGATATGCGACTTCAAGTTTCGTCAGGTGAGACAATAGGCCTACCCCCCAAAGCACAGACATGTTGTTTTAACAACAACGATAGGCTAGTACACCGTAACACAAGTCCCTGTCAAAGTGACCCTCCAATTATTTTATAGTTAGGTACAATATGAATCGTAAGAATTATGCATAATTATTATTAATGATATAATGAAATATCTTTCGAAAGATATGAAAATTCTTTTTGGGAAGTGGAAGTCGAACGTTGTTAGGAAAGAGACTGTAATGAAATGATCATTGTTGGACTTACGAACACCATATACTGAACAATGTGCCAGTGAAGGTATGCGTATTATATATATATATATATTTTGCAATGGTAATATTGATATCGCTTAAACTATAAAAGACACATGTCGTACATGATTTTCCCATAAGGTAACTCGATCAACAGATCTTTGCATCTTTATATTTTTTGTTTTGTGCACTACCTGGGAGGTATGTACTACGATAAGGAGCTAACAGTAAATCAGTGCTAACATCAAATTTTGAATAATTTTTTGATAGATAATTTGAGGTTTTGTACTGAGATATATCATAGTATTAGAAATATAATTAATTAAAATTGGCTAACGAAATCCAGCAACTAGCGAGATATCGCAAGACTTGATCATTTTAGTATATATACAATGTACATACATGTACGTCGCTGGAACTCCATTTTGCTGGGAGGGACACTTTTATAACAACTATACCTTGAATAATTTGAAAAGATTAATAAAGCAAATTAATTTCGAATCAATAAAGGAGAAAAATCTGCATATTAAACCGAAGGCGAACCTTTTATTATAGAGGCAGGCCGGACCTTATATGTTATCGATTAGGTCCCCCCGGACCTTTAAACGAGGCGGACCAAATATTATGCGACACCGGTCACACCCGCCGTGTGCTCCTTGTCATGATCGGAAAAAAGGGAAAGATCCGTTGACAGTTCAATTCATAAATAATGGACTAACAATTAGTATGAAAAAGTCAGTCAGCATTTGACACAATGATAGGTTTTATGTGCTGACAAGGTCATTGTATCGACCATAAAACTTGCGAAATGATGACTTCAAACGAGACTGCTGATATTATTTGATTTCCCCCTCTTTAACAAATTTGTTGACCGATTAAACTGTACCACTTGCCATATCCTATCGGCAATCCATTCTTTGCCGAAATTGTACAACAAAATGTGCTGAGAGGAACGAACAACTGCATCACATTTTAAATTTTGAAATACTAGTACAGTGTAACCGGGTGGCAGTAAAATAAAATTTACATGACAACTTGTAAATTTTGTACCTACTCCCATCCGGTAAATTTAAAATTTAAAACACGAAAATCCTAAGAAAGGAAATAGAACATGAGAAGTCTCAGTAAACACTGACAATGAAATATCCAATAATGGAAATGTATGGAGATAACGAACAGTATTCAAGCTCAAAAGTCCATTAAGCAATACAAATTTAGGAGCAGAGCAAACACGGGCCTCTAAAACATCAGAGGAGTGAGTATCCCCTGCCGACCGGTCACACTCGCCGTGTGCTCCTTGTCATGATCGGGAAATAACGGAAAAATCTGTCGACAAGTCAGTGTGTAAATAATGGTCTAACAGTTAGTATGAAAAACGTCAGTCAGCATTTGACTTAATGATGAATTGTATTTGCTGACAAGGTCATTGTATCGACCATAGAACTTACGAAATGACGACTTTAAACGAGACTGTTGATATTCTTGTTTCATCAACATGTTTGTCAATAACTTAACTCGTTTTAGAAATTGTTCATACGTAGAGCATGCTCTTGCGTATCGAACAACTGAGAGATATAAAACCCGTATGCAGGTGATGAAGGTATATTGCTGCAAAAGTAAGGGAAGTTGACGATTGAAAAGTTAAAGTCATCACGTTTATCATAAAGCTTGTTTGTTTGATTACTATTAACGTCTTTTTCTAGTAAAATATCCAAATATGAAACAGATGTGTCAAACTCTGTGGTATCTTTTATTTCAAGCTCACCGGGATATATCGTATCGACGTAAGAATGGAAATAACCATTGTTAATTGACACACACTGAAATAGGCAGAAAATTTTGTTTGCATGGAATATCAGAGTTTAATAAACTTTTAGTCAATTACAAAATTAAGAATTCCTAACATACTCATTGGCAAATACACTTGAACTAAATGATTTGCTAGATATACTGTCTCATTAATAAATTATTATTAGTAAATACCTGAATCCGTTGTAATGGAATAGTTAATAGGCATATTGGAATTTCAACGCAAGTTTTATCAACTAAAATTGTCAAAAGTTTTAAAATTGTAAGTGTACGTTGTAATGCTTGTACAATATATTTATTTTATATATATATATATATATATATATATATATATATATATATATATATATATATATATATATATATATATATATATATAATTATTCTTTCCCCCTATTAAGTAGGTAAGTAAATAATTTTTATGTTATGTATTATTATTATTTAATTACCAAGGAGGAAGACTTAAACAGGCATTTTACCTGATGTCCAATCCTTTTCCTTTTGGAGTATGTATTATTCGACTAAATAATGAACATCTTTGAAGTCTACTGGATGTAAAATGCATGGGGAAAAAATAGTATGCTATAAAGATCGTGCAAAGGAAGCGTGAGACATGAGTTTCCACTTCTAAAAAAGCTAAAACAACTTTAAATTTAGTAAAGTAGCGGATCAACCTCAGTAATACATCTTGTTAAAAAAATCTCATAAAGTTCCATTTCCTTCAAAAAATACATGTATACAAAAGCAAGAACAATTGCTCGACGACATTAAAATGATGCTACTTCTCAGTAACTGAGATTCTGAAATTTATTAGGACGTGTAGGTTGATGCTCAACAGTGTGCTTAAAAAATAATTCCCAAAAGCAGCGTTTTAAGTATCTGAGTCAAAAACATGCTTCATTTGCATCCAGTTCTGTTCAAAAATACGTCATTGAAATCACATTGTTTATCTGTCAATGTTTCCAAATTCATTTGATTTCTTGTTAATCAAAATAAAGCAAATTGAGAAACTCACAAAAACCCAATAAATAAAATGCAATTCCTTCATCCTGCAAGGGAACTAAAGCTATTTATGATGTAATACAAATTGACAGCTTTTGAAAAGTCACTAGACCATTTCTCTACTAATGCTGTAATTTACCAAGAACCTACTCAAATTTATTAATCACAAGACCTTTATATCTGAACAGCATACATAATTTATTGTTGATACGGACAGTCCACATCTCTGAGTAGCGTTAATATGCCGAGGGTCCATCCTTCCCTAGTGGATGGCTTCCTTCTATCGAAATTGTTCATAAGTTGTGATTAGATACAGAAAACAACATTAAAAGGTAAGAACAGGAATTAACTATAAAACTGTTTTGAAGGAGATTCCGGATTTCTCTTTTATGATTCACTGTTTGAAACTGTATTGATGACAGCTTTTCTTCTTTTTTGTATCAAGTAAAATATATGTATAAAGATTTTAAATATTTTTTTTATACATTATTTTATTCACAAAAAGTGAATGGGATCGGGCAGCAGGCATAGTCTATTTCAGCCCTCTCCCGCAGATATTAAGTTATCTCAATTCCTGTAAAGATTAAATGCCAAAACTACTACGCATAATTCTTTATGACAACTTTATGGGGGAAGGTGGTAGAATGCTTAAACCAAGTATATTTTATCATTGCTGAAAAGAAATTTAAAAGAAATTCTTTGAAACACAAGATTTTTGTAATGTAAATGCTATCCATCAATAAATTAGCACCATTTAAGTACTCATGAAGCTTGTTTTAATTTTTTTTTTTTTGTTTCCTTTTTTTAGAAAGAGATTTTCCTTAAGACACATTGTTAATTTAATCACTGTATAGCATTTCATCATCAATGTTCAGACTGGAGATCGTATAATCAGTGTGCTTTAGAATCTATCACAACGACTCATTCTCCGTCAAATAGAAAATGATCATTTTATTCGATGATTCGTTTATTTTTTCAAAGTAACAGAATCGTACACTTTTATTGCACACCATTATATCGTCAAGGATCAAAGACTTGCCTTGATTTGCTATTAATGTTGATTAATCATGAGAATTTTAACAAAGACGCTGTTTACATCCAATTTTATTGACAGCCTAACGGGACTATCGCAAGCTTCATTGTGCATTGGACATGGGGGTACTTTAGAAAAACTTTAAAATCTGTTTTGTTATTTTCTAAATATTTATTCTCTTGCATCCCTTTAGAGAGTTCTATTAATTAGGTAATTAAAGAATGCTTTTCGTGTCAAATACTTCAAAGTTCAATCTGAGAAATGATGGCGCGAGGAAATGAAGTCATCTATAAAATTATACGATCATGATAAAAAGTGAAATCATTTTATCATTGCCATCGGAGTACTTACTAACAATTCTACAATAATGGTAACGATAGTCCAACTAATGTAGTACGTTGGAATTTTTGCGATGATCGGATGAAGTTATGGCTAAATTGGAAAATCTGAACATAAGAACACACTCTCCATTAAAAAAAAATTAACTAAAAAAGCAATTTCAAAAATCAGTCTATCAGTTTCTCTATGAACTGCAACACCTTTTGATAAGTAAAACTGAACTTGACAACATAGTCTTAGAATTGAAGTATTTTCTAAATTTGTGTTTCATTTGACTTTTCTAAAGATGGTCATGGAGAATAGCATGAACACCGATGCTTCTATAAAGGAGGTTCTAAAAACAATGGCGGAGAACTCCTCTATTCACGGTGTTTCTAGATGGGTGACATCTCGGCATTGGTATCAGCGCCTCCTCTGGATTTTGGTCTTTCTAGCAGCTGCTGGTGTATTGAGCTACCAGTTATCGCGTTTATTCGGATCTTATAAATCCTACCCTGTGAAGACTTCAGTGGATTTAAAATTTTCTAGTTTACCGTTTCCAGCTGTATCTATCTGTAATATGAACCCGATAAAAATGACCAAACTTGATATGACAAGCAAAGACACACAGATAGCTATAAACGTAAGTTGTTTGCTTTATTTAATTGATTGGCTAAATGAGCCAAAATTGATCAAAAAATCTGTTGTAAAATAATTTATTATTGATATGATGTGTCATTTAATAATGTCTAGCCTAAATAATTCACAAGCTAAAAATAGAGGCAAATAACAAACCATCCATTTTTTCCTTCAAGGAAAACTAATCAAGAAATGTGTTTTCTTTTAAATTATATATAATTCATTTTTGCAATAGGGCACTGGATCGCCTATTAGAAAGAAAAGAAGTAAAAACCGTAGGTCTAACACAGAAACTAAAGTATCCTCTTCATCCCATTTGTCACCAGAGAACAGTGATAAAATCACTAACATCTTTTCTTCAGAAGAACCGAGAAGGGGACAAGGAATTCCCGAGCGTCCAGCACCTTCAACGGAGAAACAACCCGACTACTCATTAACTGAACTCAATAAAAACCATAGAAAATACAAGAACATTTTTAAAGAATACAAGAACATTTTTAAAAACAAGTATTCCCCAAAAAGTTGGTTGTCAATATTATTGGCAAAGGAAAACATTAATATTGAAGCGGGCAAAAACGAACCATGGGTTCTGAAGGCCAGTCAAAGGATCAGAAAAAGAAGTACTGGGTCTGGTGGGACGTTAACTTCAGGGATTCTAGGGACTAGTGTCCCTCCCGTCACAAACACACCATCTTATGCTACTACTAGTTCCTACAAAACTTCTACCAGTTACTACCCCACTTCAACCTATGGATGGATAGGCGCTGATGGTACCTGGTCTAGTTTTCGGGATTATAAAGACGAGCTTGATCAACATGTCCAGGATAAATGGAACCAGCGAGTCGCTAAATTCCAATCAGAATTTCAAAAGAATACAAGGTAAAAATTGATTTTTCTGAAAAAGGGACCAGAGTCGTATTTTTTTTTAACTCTTTGAAGTATATGTATTGATAAAAACAGGAAAAGGCTACCGGTCTTGTAGAGTAGGCTTTCCAATTTTTTTTTCTTTCCATCTGGTCAAACTGGCTTCTGTAAAAAAAATTGTACAATGTACATGTAATCGGTGGACAAATTTTTTCCATAGAAACAAAAAGGAATTTTATTTTAAATAATTTGTTTCTTCAGTCGTATTTCAAACTATGTACTTAAGTGTCTCCACTTAATTCTGGTGTTTAAATATTGCCATGGAACTGAAAATTGGTCATTTATTTATAAAAATTAAAAAAAAAAATTGCAAAACTTTTAGAGAGTAGTTGCTCTCTGCTTTCAAATCCAATTTTACATCGAGGGTCGAAGGGGCATACTCACAAGCAATGTTTCTTGTATTGTTGTGTTTATGGAATTAGTTTTTTTTCCTGGAAGAACTACTAGATTTTAACGCTCACAAAATGGCATGTGCATGGAACCCATCAATAACATAAATTTTAAAATTTTTCTCGCACACTCTTTGTAAAAAGGATGGATGCATAGATGAAATACTGGGCCTTTAGAGGTCAAACAAATTATCAAATCACTAAAAGTGTCCTTATATAATTTTAAAATTTGTGAGCAAACACGTACCGCTGCGCCGAGAGAGGGTATTGAGACATCGAGTCTTATGATTTTTAGTGACTTATTTTACAATTTCATATGAGTTAAAAATTTGGGTTGAGACACAATGATCTGAACTCTTTTTTATGATAAAATACTAAATTCGAAAATTCTTGAGTCGAAAACATTCATATTTTAATTAAAAACAGTTGACTTTCATAGAAATGTTTTGCCATATTATTGTCATATGATTAAAGAGGGGAAATCCTACTCTGAGAAAGAAAGAGGGGGATATATGGCTCTAGTGTGAGATTTTCCCTCGGGGGAAAATCCTACTCTAAAGTACAGATTCCCGGGGGGGGGGGGGGAGGGGGCTGGCTATGGGGGGAATCCTACTCTACAACACCGGTATAAGAATAACATATAAAGAGATGCTCGAAACATTGTGTACTTAATAAATAGTCATAAAATCATGAGGGTGGTAAACTGGAATCACCATAACTGTTTCTTCAGTAGTAGAATGGTTAATACCTGCATTGGTATCATGTATAGATGCTTCGTGTTCCTTTGAGACTTTTGTATTTGATTAGGTGTCTTATTTTCCACGTCTGTGACTATTGAGAAATACACAATTTTTCTCATTCTCAGCAAAGCTGACAAAGGCAAACTTGAATATGAAAACCAATGATTTTATGTAAAACCATCGTCGGAACCCACGGGTTTTCTCTCCGTTACACTACATTCTACAGTTGAATGAAGTGTAACGGAGAGAAAACCCGTGGGTTCCGACAATGATGTAAAACAAATGAAACACATTTTCGTTCATGTCTTAGTCCCATTGCATCTGCTTTAGTTTAAATTGTTGTATTTTACGTTTCATAATGCATTTCGTTTGTTTTAGCCTTTTCTTTTATCAACCCATCGATAAGTGAACTAAATTTGATTATGCAAAATGTGATAGCAATTTGTTTTGAAGTGCATTTCTCATTATTTTAGAAAAACAAGAGAAATTGTAGGTCATACCATTGCTGACATGTTGGTATCTTGTGCTTTCAACGGAAACGAGTGTTACCATAAGTATGAATAAGTTCCTCCCTTCTGCACTTTTAATGGTTTAAAAACTTATCAAATTTCATACGAAGAAACCAAATTTTCCATACCATTATCTTTCTTTGCTCTTTTTAAATAGTAATTTTAGCCTGTTCCAGTCTTTGGAATATGGAAACTGCTACACATTTCAGGACACCTCGTACATCACCAAGAGATCAGGACCTCTTCTGGGTTTGTTTTCACAGAAACTTCAATCTGATTCATTTATGGTGCAACAAAATATCTTGTTCAGTTTTGTAATTTTTTTTTCTCCAACTTACTTCAATCCTAAGCAAAGCTAATAATCTCCAATCCTGGAGAATCTTTGAAAAAGTATGCATACAACTTTACACACCTATACACAGTGGCTAATCTTTGTTTTAAAGTAAAATTTGATTATGTACTTTATATACGAATTTTGATTTTACTTTATGTGCAAAATAATGTAATGTTTAAAGTGCTTAGCTACTGAGCGTTAATATGGTATAGAATATCTTAGGAAAACTACGATCGTTTATCAAAGCTATCATTCCAATAACAGCGTGTCACTTCTTGAACGACCGTGGTAGAACTTCATAAAATGATAACCATATTAATTACTTATCGATTGGATATTAGTTTTCAATGAAATCAATATACTACTTTGCAAATGAAACACAGAACCCAGCAATACCACTGACAATATACTGATCAATCTGTTGAATGATTGTTCACGAGTATGGAGTAAACAAAAATTACACTTGGACAAGCAAAGCAAGTTTTACTTCCTATAACCATAAAGTCATATTGTAATAGCAATCTAGTTTCTAAATGCTATTTTGCTATTTAACCTTAAATGCATGTACAAGGAAGGAGAATATAATAAATTATGTTGATTAATACCAATCACTGGTGTTTCTTTAAAGGAGATAGGAACAAAAACTCAATTTTTTTTTTTAGATTTTCCTTCGTAGCAGAGTAGCCTTACTAATTTCATGCTTAAAATTTTCTTATACTAGTATTAATTCCAACAGGTCAAATCACAACCAAATATGACAAGCTTTTCTGTGAACTTGACTGACCAGGTGTTGCTTTTTACTACAAATGCCATACTCGTAAACAGTCACTCAGTGTGATTGGTCAGTATTATCAGTGGTATTGTTGGATTCTGTGTTTCATATGCAAAGTAGTACTGAATTCATTGAAATCAACCGTATAAAATAAAGGAATTAATATTCGGTTGATGTAAATGAATTTGATCTTACTTTATAGAATTATATATGCAGACATAAATATAAAATAAAATGTCTTCGTTCTTTTTTTAAGCTCTTTTTTCGCTATTTTGCAGAAAAAAGCCCGCGCAATTTCTATGCAACAGGACATCTATATATTAACTCTAATACTAAAAACCAAAGAAACATTTTATTGTTTGAAAATCCCTATTAAAGAGAGTAAATACAGGCGATTCGTGTTGTAGATTGATTAAAATTCAAGGGAATTTTGATTTTATTGTTATTTATAAACAAAATCCCGAGCTTTGCAAATTTTCATGCGACAATTACTTATTTGTAATTTAGAATGTAAGCGTCTTCCACTACTGATCGAGTTCTTTTGAATAACCCCCCCCCCTTTCAAACAAAAATAAAATGAAGAAGACACATAGTTTATTTTTTCTCTTGCTTGCAGGTCTACGCCTAACGCTTAATATTGAAACTTTTGAGTATGTAAAGGACTACATGGATGCTTTTGGTATGAGGTTGGTAATTCATGAACCTGGAACGTTTCCCTTTCCGGAAGAAGAAGGATTTACACTGAACCCTCGTTTTGAAACAACCATAGGGATGAAAATGGTAAGCTCTGCTTATCATTGCAGAGATAAGAGTCTTTGGACTCCATATAATAGTTAGTACTGTAAGAAGTTTTTCCGATATTACACATTTAATACGATTTAGGTCATAAAAACAGAACAGCCCGTCATAAAAAGATTGTAATGGAATGAAAATGACATTTTTTCAGTTAAATTCATTTTTAAAGATAAACTGGACATTTTTGGTGTATGTTGCTTATTTTGAACAACAGGTTACCATTCAGCGAGCGTCTGAACCGCATGGAAATTGTGAATCAGGGGAAGAATTTACACGAATGTTTGGAATACGCTACACAATCCCGGTATGAATTCAGTATGAAAAATTATATCATTCAGTATAAGATCTCTGCTTAACCTCTCGAGAGGAAAAACAATCAGTTGTACAATACTTTTTCAAAAGGAAATAATTTTTAAAATATTGAGATTCTATTGAGAAAATAATTAGGAAAATATATAAATATTGGGTTCTCCCTTTCTTTATGAACTACATGTAGGCCTGTTTGAAACTTTGTCGTCAGAGAGAAATATTAAGTCAGTGTCAATGCATTCCCTCCACTTCATATATAAAGATTGGCAACATAGATTCCCTACCACTCTGTTCAAATTCAACTGGTGAGTATGTGGGTTTTTTTTGTTTTTTTTTTGTGTGTGTTTTGAACAATTATTGCAAAAATAATCGGTTATTATTGCTCTATGACAGCATATAGTTTATGAATTTAATTTATGTTGATTTTTTTTTTTTTTGCTAAGAGGCAAGCGAATGTGAGGAATTTCTTGTCTTCAAGTTAGAAAACAATTTGCTTGACTGTAACTGTCGAAGTCCGTGTAGGTAGGTTTTCCTCAAGGATTAATCAGAGAAATGATACAAAACCCTGTGAATTATTATTTATTATTACCAAAACTGCTAAATAGTTTATTATTAGTAAAATGTGGTTCACTTTTCTGAATTAACAAAAATTCAATTATCAAATACATCTATGGGTTTAATCCGAGTAACTGACATTACTATGTAATTCAAATTTATGATTTCTTAAAAAAATAATTTATTTCTTTGTACACAGACAAAAAATATATGACACGAGTTTGTCTGGAAGAGCCTGGCCAAGTCAAAAATTTTTGGTAAGAAACAAGTTTAATTTAAAAAAAAAATACAGGGTAGATTGCATTTCTTCTTCACTTTATGCATACTTATTCCATTTATCGATTGATTGTATGTTGTTTACGTCCCTTTCGAGAATTTTTCGCTCATATAGAGACGTCACCATATACCGGTTAAGGCCTTCAAATTTAGACCTTAACTCGGCACTCAGTGCCATTGAGCAGTGAGGGACCTTTTTCGTTCCAACGTCTGCCGTGACACGGGGACTCGGTTTTTAAGGTCTCATTCGAAGGACTCGCAACTTTCACTTCAAAGTGCCGAGCGCTTGGCGAAGGAACAGTTGCTACCTATTTTTTATCGACTAAGTTCAGTCGCGGCCGGGGCTGGAACCCACGACCTTCCAATCACGGAGCGAGCTCTCTGTCGAATGAGCTACCGTGACAGTCTATTTCATTTATTAGACAAATAGGTGTTTTCACTTTCTTTTTTCGTTTTATTTTCTTTAGTTTAATTTTTAGACTTTTTTCAAATGAACGACGAAATCACAACATTCTTATATGAACAGTGCATTTATTACATGAAAACTTAACAAGTTAACTATCTCATACAGAATCAAGGGTTCACTTAATAAAAGAATATCGGTTCATAAATTTCAAATTAACAAGAGGTCAGCAGTTTCTCTACAAGCACTTTAATTTACCTGATCATTCTATTTTTTCAATGAAAGTAAGAATTCTAGAAAAAAAAATTACCACCATACTAATAGCCTATTTAGACAACGAGAATAATACTCTTAGGAAATTAGAGAATATTTCAAGTCCACAGTGTAGCAGTGTGAATGTGATTGGACTTTTTAAAAATACACAGAGGCGTAAGCGATGTCAGGGACATCGGTCTTACAATAAACCTATTATACACGATGTCTCTTTTGATTCACTACCACCTTATATAAACAGCTACATCTTTACCACATTCATACCAAATGTCACTCTGCCTCTTTGAGAGTTTTGAATGGTTTATTTAAAAAGGCTAAGAAAACTCCATATTTGGATTCTTTGATGCCAGAATACAGATTATGGATATTGCAAATCAAAGGGTTTTTAAAACCGTCACTTGATATGGAAAAGAATACTGCTCAAGTAACCCATTTGCTCCTTAAACTTAAATTTGCCAACAAAGTGAATACATGTACATGTATTAGTAATATCCTTAATCACAAAAGGGTCCAGTCTTGAATCCATTTTAAATTGAACTCCACACCTAGTATTAGAACATCTGAAACATAATCCTCCTACGTGTTCTTCTTCACCCTTCAAAAATAGTCCCACTGGACCCTTCAATACTTGTGACGTAAATATAGTTAATAATTAGGACCTCAAATCATTTATTTAAAAAGGACGAACATTTAGGGAACCCCGATCGATCTTTCAACAGGTGTCAAAATTTCATAAATATTTTAATTTCTGTGGAAGATTACGCCAGGCGATGGGCCAAACATGAGAAAAAAGACCTTGACATTTTATCAGAATGGATTAGAAGTATCAGATAGATGTTGAAATTTCGCAATAACAAATATGAAAACCATCTAACCTTCTGTCTTCAATAAACCAGAAGTGAAAAATGATAAGATTATACGATCAATATGTACTGGTCCCAGCTGACAAAGCTGGAAACTACATTGTCTTTGTATATTAGGTTCATTATTATAACTTTAATTTTGAAGAATGTGGATATAATTCTGCAAGTGGTGATCCAACTTATACTCATGGTTCCCTTTCTAAGGAGGAAATTCATCAAAGTCGCATGTCGGTTTTAAATATTTTTGATATTCTCAACAATCAAATTGAATTTAAATTATAATACCTATACCAGATTCCTAAACTACATAAAAATCTTTATGAGCAAAGACACATACGGGTTTAAATAAATGTTTTACCAAGCCTCTTTCTTTACTGCTAACCAAAATTTTAACAGCAGTAAGGAAAGACTTCAGGATTACTGTACAATATATTCGAGAAAAGTGTTAATCCATATACCAGATTCCTAAACTACATAAAAATCTTTATGAACAAAGACACATACGGGTTTAAATAAATGTTTTACCAAGCCTCTTTCTTTACTGCTAACCAAAATTTTAACAGCAGTAAGGAAAGACTTCAGGATTACTGTACAATATATTCGAGAAAAGTGTTAATCCATTCGTACATGTATGTCGATTCGATATATCCCAGTGAACTTGTAATAGACACCGCAGAGACAACTATTTTTACTGGTTATAAACGATAAGGGCCAACTAACAAGTAAATTGTATGAAAAAAAGATGACCAGCTTTTCCGTCGTCAACATTCCTGATTTATTGAGTAATATTCCCCATCACTTACATTTGAAGTTCATATCTCCCAGCTTATTCGATACTTAAGAGCATGATCTGACTACGATAAATTTTTTAACCCGAGGTAGACTACTGATGGAGTAGTGATACTACAGGGATTTCAACAACCTTCTATAAAGTCATCATTTCGTAAATTCTATGGTCGTTATAATGAACTTGTTATGGTCGTTATAATGACCTTGTTAACAAATATATTCTATCTTTAGATATATAGACTGACGTGTTTCATACAAATTTTAAGCCTTTGTTTTTTTATATTGACTTTGACAACGTAATGTTCCGTCTACCTGATCAATACATAGGGCTCACGGCGGGTGTGACTGGCCAACAGGGGATGCCTATGCTTCCTAGACACCTGATCCCACCTCTGGAATTTCCTTGGGTTCATGTTTTATGCGCTGTTCACAGATTTGTATTGTAAACATCAGAGTTAGGATCAGGTGACATGGAGGAGTAAACATCTCCTGTTGATCGGACACATCCGCCGTATCCTTCTTGTTATGATCAAAACCGTAAATTCATTGTGAAAATAATGGCCTAACACTTTATGAAAAACAGTCAAAATACGACTTCACTGTAGATTGTATTTGCTAACATGGTTGTTGTATCGACCATAGAATTTGCGAAATGTTGACTTTAAACGAGACAACATATCCTTGTATCATCAACTTATTTGTCAATAGCTTGCATCGTTTTAGAAATTGTTCTTATTTGCGTAGCGAATCAAATGGGAAACATAAACTCCACATGCAGTTGATAATGGTATATTGCTACATAAATAAGGGAAGTTAGGACGATAGAAAAGTTGGATAAAAATCTGTGTACTTATGTGTAGAATCTGGGTGTTTTTTACAAAGTAATTTTGTAGATGATCACCAATTTCAGAGTTTCATTTTTATTTAAGATGCAGTTGTGTATGATATCAAAAAGTCATTTTTTTATCGTGGGAATTTGATTGTATAAAGTATAGAGAAGTCATAGGTTTTGATGTCACTGATTTTTGAAAAAAAAATTGTGATTATAAATTTTCTAAAAGGTTTTTGGAATTTTTGAGAATCCACATTTCATTTACACCACATCTCGAATATGCTCTAGCAAGGACGTCTAAAGTTTCTCTTTTACAGGAGTTACTATTTTTGTGGGGAGTAATGAAAAGGGTTTCTAAGAACAGGTGATACATAGTGATTTGCAATAGTTTTTCTTTAAAAAAGTATCGGTATCTGATATCACTAAATTTACAAAATTATCAGATGCCTTAAAGAAGAAGTATATTCTATGAATACACCCAATTGTTGCATTGTAACAAAAAAAAAATAACAAATTGATAAACTTGATTTGTTTGATGTACATAACAATCAACCATAAAATAATGCCTTATTGGGAAAGTCAGATTTCTAATTATGTGTTCTAAAATTATTACATTAAATTCAGAAAATATCTATATGCTTAATAGACACTTGGTAGCCTTCATGAATAAAAGACGACAGAAGACATATAATTTTGCTTTGTAATGGTAAAATAATAACTTTATCTAATACTTAATGATTGGAACATTCTTTGTATATGTCTTTTGCAAGAAAATAAAGAGATGTATAGAACCTGCATCCTCCCCAGAACCAATTCTTTGAAGCCACATGGCCATATCTTTTGGCTTTCGTTTTTATTCCGTTCATAACTTTAGATTTACATGTATTCGTGCACAGACAAGCAAACAAAAACTAGTTTAAACATAACCTCTTTCCAAATTCTTTAACTGAGGCAATAAAATAACCGCATACATCGATGTATATTTTTCTTAAAAGTTTTTTTTAAAAATATATACAAAATGCGTATAAAATTCCTGGCAGCGGTATTACTTTATGATCATCAAGTGAAAGAGAATACATTTTATTCTTCTGTGTTTATTAGGTCCGACTGGGTGATTTATAAGTATCATACATGACCTTTCTGAGAAACATTTAATCAAGTGAATTATTTATTAATATTTTATCAAATCAAATGATTCATGAATGTCATGGAATCAGTGCTTTGATCAAAAATTGACCTCGTGTAATTCAAAGTGGAAGACACTGCTACATAAGCGTTTCATTAATGTTAGCAAATAGCATCGTTTAATGTTAAAAATAGTTTTCCATCATGCATGACGACCTTGATTGTAAAACAATTGAACTTCAAGGCTACGGAGAATGTAATTACTGGAAAGGTTTTGATCATACAATTTAGCAGTAGTGACCGAAATAAAGGATAGTAATTAAAAATGCTTTCTTTTATTGTTAGTATGGGAAAAATTGGTTGCAGCTTTTGCAGAAAAAATAGATAACTCGCGTAAGCGAGTTATGTATTTTTTTCTGCAATAGCTGCGACATTAATTTCCATACTAACAAACAAAGAAAGACATTTTATTGTTTATATTTATGTCTGTATAAATGATCATGTATAGTTGGATTAAATTTGCTTTGATGATACGTACCTCTTTGTATTTTTCATTGATGGAAGAGTCATCGTTCAAGAAATTTATACAGGTGCCTTGCTTAGGCCATTCCAAGTTTTTTCTATGTTTAGCGTCCGCGCGCGCCTTGGTTTTTGACACCCATTTCAGAAAAAAAACAAAATCAGGAGTCCTGAAGTTGAATATTCTGGTCGAAATCTTTAAAATCTATCAATTTCTTTAAATATTTGTCGCCAATGTTAGGTATATTTAAAGCATTTATTACCTTCATTTTGCAATAGAATAGATCTTTCTACGAGAAAAATAGATAAATGAAATCAAATCCTTTGAATGAAGTCATTTTTATGACTATAAAATTTTTTTTTTGAATAGGTAGGTATGTTTTTGAAAGATGGGTGGACGCTAAACAGATAAAAAACTTGGAATGGACTTAGCAGGTTAAAGTTTTTATAAACGACCGCGATTTTCATAGAATCGAAAACAAAGGAGATAATATTCATTGGATGTAAACATGACAAATTTAACTTTTTGTATGAATGATATCATCGATAAAGATGTTCAAATAATTTGAAAGGTTCTTTCATAACTTTAATACATTTATCTTTTACAAGTACTTTATTTTTGCAAATAATAATTAGTGTTTTTTTAATAACAATCTTTACAGAAATCAAGATCTAGACTTTCTCATAGATCTTCATTTTTCTTCTGATGAAATTTTCTAGATTTTATTATTGTAAGTTTGTATGACCCCAGTATCGTTACTTTGTGTATCTTATAGTTTCTTTTTTCAGAAAACGATATTTAACAAATATGTATTTCTTGTTTTGTAGAAAGAGAATATTATGGTAGACATTTGTGATGGGTCCCGAAATTGGTTCTTCGCTAAGGAATGCAATAAAGTACTAAGTAATGATGCATCAGCAAGTGACATTGACAGGTACTTGTATATTTTGTACTTCATTAACTTACTTGTACCGAGAGCTCAAAGGAACTATTTCTGATTAAAGCTTTCTTGTAGTCTTCATCTACTTTTAGGTTAACGCCTGATATATTATCAAAAACAAAAAAGGCAGAAAGAAACAAATAATGAGAAAAAGCCCAAATGCTTACTTCAAAACATGTACCTTTATATCAGACATGTAAAGACATATTCAGTTAAAGGAACATGAATTCATACTAGTAAAATCATATTCAGTACATTTAACTTGTATCTTAGACTAAAATATGTATGATAGCCGATGAGGCAAAATATGTAGTTTTGATCTTTTTTATATACTATATATGTCCCATTTTTATGGATCTTGAGTCTACATACATTGTACTTTTTTTTAAAGTTTTGGTCTTAAACCATCCTGATTCCCAAAAGGATTTTGCATTCTTGCATTTAAAAAAAGCTATACAATCGATATTGTAAAGGTGTTAAATATTTACTCTACAAAAAGAAGCTTGGACCAAATAAAGTTAAACTGATAAATAATTTTTTGAGTTTCTGATTTTCGTTATCTGTATATAAATATGAGAATATGCAACTATGGACAGACGTCATTGAAGAAGATAAGTATTTTACTCAAAAACATTTATAATTCGAAAATTTCATTTTGAATAAGAAGAGAGCTCTGTAATTTGCCTTATTGGATGGTAAAAATGTTTAGGATGGTGAAAAATATTGGCGCAAGTGAAAGATTTGTTTTGTTTGTTTGTTTATTGATTAACGTCCCTCTCGAGAATTTTTTTTTTCACTCATATGGAGACGCCACCACTTGCCGGTGGAGAGCTGCAAATTTTGACCTATACTCGGCACTTAAGGCCACTTGGCATTGAGGGATCTTTTTCGTGCCAGCACCTACTGCGACACGGGACCTCGGTTTATACGGTCTCATCCGAAGGACCGGACTCCACGTCCCACAGTGGGATTGAAAGATTGGTAATGTAATGAAATGAAAACACATGCTCTCCACAAATTAAGAGTAACTATACTCTTAAGAACTGGTATCAGAAACCTCACATTTACCACTGGGGGAATACTTGTAACGTAATGCCATCTAAATTCTAAATAGTTTTTAACGGAAGTGAATCCTTTTTTTATGACGAGCAACAAAAATACTTGCAGGTGGTTTGTATTCAATTTTGTCGAATCAATTCACACAGATAGATTTCGTTTGTGAAGAAGAAGAAGAAGAAGAAGCAATATTTGTAATATGTAATAAAACAATGACGAATATTATTTTTAAATGCATTATTGAAATTGTATTTCTTGAAGGTTATCGGAAAACTTTCTAAAAGCCGTTATTTACTACGAAGATTTGAACTACGAGGAAATCCGAGAAGAACCAATGTATGATGTAAGTAATTAATCTTGGACCTTTTTTTCATTCCTTGCAGGTTTTTATAGATTGCATTTACTTTGATATTTTGAGTGCATTGTTTTGCTACTTTGCGGCAGACGAGATTCAAACATTTTGATTAATTGAAGATAAAATTAAATTATACTGTAATTTTATTTAAAATATTTGAAGACACGTGTTTTGGAATTAGATACAATTATTTAAAAACTAGATGAAATCCCGCGCAAGCGCGGGGAATTGAATTTACACCACTACCGACAGAAAATATATTGTAGTTTTTACTGGCAACCTACAGGCTTATAGAAGGAATACTTTGTTCAAAATCCCACAGGAAGTAAATGTACGTCTCCACCCCCACCCCACCCCCTTTTTGTAAAATCTTGAAAAATAACAATATCATTTAATTGACATTTATTGTGAAACCTGTTATACAATGTTATGGATATTGTACTTCAGATGCTCTTATTTCATTTCCGCCAAGGATAAAAGGAGTGAATATGCACATTTTATTGAAAAATTGATTATTGGGGGGGGGGGGGGGGTTCACAGGTACTTGGGTCTTGGTTTATAAATATGTATATGTACCTTATTGATTTGTAAAAAATGTACTTTACCTTTTTTATATATCAATAAGGTACCCGGTACATACATATTTACATACCAAGACCCGAGTACCTGTGTAAAAATTAGCTGTTTAACGCCCTATGAATAGGCCGAGTATTTGATACAAAAGACTGTATTCAGAAAAAAAAACTGAAATGTATTGATTAAAGCACAAAATTTTACAGCTTTAATTATATTTGAACAATACCTTATTCATTAATTTTCTTTTTTCATGTAAGCAAGTTTATTACGAAGTACAAATTGTACTTCGGGTTCGTTGCCACGATGCTCTCAGTAAGGAAAATACAAATTTTACCGATAAATTTACAAATTTTACCGATAAATTTATTAGAAAAACCTACTACATATATGTAATAGTCTTTCGATATATAAATATATTCACAACTTATAGTGTTATCAATGATTTACCATTATTTCAATGACCATTCACACAAAAGCTTTTTTTTTTATTTTCATGCAGCTAGAATCGCCTCGTTTTTCTTTTTAACATCGGGCTCGATGCTATATGATGTTCTAGAAGCTTCTGTCAATATTAAGATTGGCGAATGACGAAAATAATGTGCACATTTCCCTTTTTAGTCGGTTATCACAACTTATTTCTTTTATATCATTTAAATCAAGTTTTGATTGAATAATAAAGTGATGACGTTTTATGAAATAAATAAACGATTGCTTGTTGTCAGTTTCATTAAAAACTGCCAGTAACTTAGATCCGCCAACCGGAAACGCCACCGTATTCACGTTTTTGCTATTTCATGGCTGTTTATAGAAAATAAAAGTAGACTTTTTATTTAATGTGCGACACTTACTATGCGAATGAAATCTAAATATAGTTTATGGACATCATCTTGAATATAGTGTATTGTTAGAGGAGTAAGTAAGAACTCTAGTGCACCCGTTTCGAAGTTTATTTTGCAAAACTTATTAATTTATAAGTATAGATACCGTATATCGAGTAGCTTTTGTGTCCGAAAAAAGGCGAAATTTGTGAATTGTGTTAATCAAGAAATCATTGTGTATAATATAATTAACAGGTTATTTAATTGAATGAGAATACAAGAAAGAATATTATTTATAGAGAGAGAAACAAATTAAATATGAATATTTGGTTTAAATAAGCAAAACATGCTCAAAGTCAGATTCTTGCCTGGAAAGCAATATAAAAGACTAGCATAAAGATTATTTATGTAGCAAAAGGGCCAAATGAATACAGTAGGTGTACACTGTTTGACGATTGATTAGTTATTATCAGGTAAAGTCATGGTGATCAGAGTTTAGTTGGCAAGAGACTACATAAAGTTGTTTCAGACTTTATCAAAGTGATCACAGAGAGCCAGAGTGACTAGAAGATATATGGGAGTTAGTGATAAGTGGCAAATAGCCAGGTTGTATAGCAGTCTCTCTCTGTGTACTTAATTGTAGCACTAGGCATATGACAAAACACATCTGTATGTATCGAATACCTTACACACTAGGCAAGTGTCCATTGTATTTGTGTACATTTTGCATTCATTATCATCCCTGTAAGACCTGGAAAAATCAAGTGCGATCCCAAGGAGATCAATTGGGTCTCGCACGTTACAATTAGCAAAGGTATTTTTACCAAATTTTTAAAATTCTTGGGCAACAGTTACATAGCTTCATCAATCAATTAATTCTGTTTTATACTTCTGTCGATCCTTTACAGTGTTGTATTATACTCAGGTGATCGTTAAGGCCCTTGTTAATCTTTACTTGATCAGCATTTGTAATTAGACGTACATGCTCCAATCCATGTACACAGCTAATATTGTGACGGATGAAAATTTTCCCTCTTGCAATGTCTCTCTAACATGATACTATCATATCTTACTTTTTTCCAAGAATAAAATTTTCGCCGGCGTGGCGCAATGGTTAGGGCGATTGCTCTAGAATCGCGGAGTAAGGAGTTGATCCTTATGTCACGGGTTCAAATCCCACAGTGGGACGTGGAGACCGGTCCTTCGGATGAGACCGTTTAAACTGAGGTCCCGTGTCGCAGTAGGTGCTGGCACAAAAAAGATCCCTCACTGGTCAATGGCCATAAGTGCCGAGTATAGGTATAAAATTTGCAGCTATCCACCGGCAAGTGGTGCGTCTCAATATGAGTGAAAAATTCTCGAAAGGGACGTTACACAAACAAACTAATGAATAAAACAAACAAAAATCAATTTTGCTTTCAATCGGATTCAGTTGTTCGGTAATTTCTTCCTATCTGAGAATTTTATTACTTTTATTTTCACGTTTGGTATATTTGATTGATCTTTCAAATTAATCATCCCATCTTCGAATACTTAAAAGATAAAAAAAGTTCTTAATATAACTTTTCTTTAAGTCAATTGAAGATCACTTAAAATAAGTCTTAGCAAATTCGAATTTTATACGTTAAATTGTAGATCAATACAGAAAAATATACTTAGGTAATAAAAACAGCCAAAGACAATGACAAAAGTGAATGGTAAGGTTCGACTCTAAATTCAGAGAGACTTCCAAAAATAGGCTTGTTCAAACCATAAGTTTGTCTTACAAAGAGATAAAAACATAACATAGATCAGGCTGTTCAACAAAAATGGTGCCAAACATTTTGTAAACGTAGGGCTGGTGTAGTTTATCATGGTATTTTCAATATTTCAAAATGTGCCCAATATGATTGCAGATAATTGATCATATTCTTTCGAATACATAAATTTTGACTTTCCAAAACACAATAGCATTTCTACTACGGTTTTTCTCTCTTTTTTAATCTTTGAATAATAATCTTTTTTGCTGCCATATATGTATGTATTTCTTCTTTCTTTTTTTCTTACAGGGCTTTCAGTTAATTTCGGATGTCGGTGGTGCACTTGGACTTTTCATGGGGGCTTCCATCCTGAGTTTTGTAGAAATCTTTCAATTTTTTATCGAACTATTAAATCTTTTGCGGTCTAAAGTGTTTCGGAGGCCTGCGCGTTCATTAACACCAGTTACAGACATTTATTTCAAGGAACCAATGGAGAAAGATGATCAAGCCTGGTCGAAATAATGAATGCAAAAAAATCTTGCCGTTGATTTCAGAAACAGTTTAAATGCACATGTACATTATGTATGTAGAAAATAAATTTTAATAATGATTTTAAAGTACATTTTATAGCTACTCCTTTGCAACAATATTACCAGATTATCACTTTGTAAATGTCGTGAACATAATGTTAGAGCGAAGAATAGTATATATATATATATGAATCCCTATTATGTGGTCCTTTCATAGATATCGGGATCACAGAAAAGCATATAGACTGAGCTCGTTTTTCTGTGAAGCCTATTGATTAACCGAGTCAAAAGACTACATTTTTATAATATTTTCTGTGAAACAAAAAACAAAAAAAAAAAGAAAAGAAAAAAGAAAAAAAAACAAAGAAATTCTTTATTTTAGAATTTGTAAGTGTTAAAGACTTTTCACCATTATAAACACATCTTTGAATTTTCCCTAAATTTTTATGGGCGTGTTTGACGTGTGATCTGCAGGAATAAGGCATACGAAACATTTATAGTTAAAATGTCTACGATTTGGTCGGCTGACCACAGCTGGACATACTTTATAAAGTTACGCACATAGGAAAATGTTACATTTAGTTTGAAATACTTTGTCAAAAATCAGTCTTCTTATGTTAATATTTACCACATGTAAAACTTAGTAACGCTTCACATAAATAATATACACCTATAGGGTATAGTTAAATGCAATTACAAGTACATGTATATATTAAAGTATCAGTAGGTTGGAAGAATTGCATTCACTTTCGGTGCAACAGAACCAGAATGTATCTATTTGAAAATAAACCAATACATAAAATTAAACTGACAAAAGAATTGATTGTTTGTACTTAAAAAAAATATTAACGCTCCATTCGAGGATCGAACCAAAACTATTTCTTTTTCGTTGCACTGGACTTATAAGGCATACTACTGAGCTTTCACCGCTACGCACATATTACGGTTTTTAAAGCGACAATGAAGCACCGCATTTACACACAGGAACCCGATACATCAAAAGAATGCTAAAATTTCGTGTGTCAGTTCAATGAAATTTTCAATTTTCAAGTGAACCCAGATTCCTGCCGAATGCCAATCAAAAGCGCCCTCGTTTTTTGCAGGGGGACGGAACTCTCATTATGCTATATTTCAGAAATTTATTCTTAAAAAATCAAGCTTTTTAACATAGAAAGCAGAAAATACTGTTATCATCTTGCGCTATGAAGTCATGTGAATGTACAAAAAATACACGTTACAGGAGCTGTACTGTGTCGGTGTCTAGGCGAGGGGAAAAAGTCACCTATAGTCAATATGGAATCTTCAATAATTAAGCATTGCAGGAGAGGCGATTCCTTGCGAGAGTTGAAGAAAAGGATTGTGAAATGAAACATGCTATCCTTAATTAAGTGAAACAGCACTTCCATAAAAGTTATACGAAAGAGTAAGATAAACAAAATAAGATAACCAATCACTTACAAAATATAACTTGTTGTCTCGTTACATAATATTGCATTGTACCAATGTGACTTTAATTTGTGAGAAAAACCATGTGAGTTTAAAAAATGTGCGAAGCTGTACGTCTTTCTTAATTGAAATATACATGCAGGTATGTCAATGTAGCATTATTGTTGAACAGATATATTAGTATTAAAGATACTAGTACTTCCTTTAACTAAAATACACTCGTTATTCCGTGTATTGGTAATTTTTCAAATCAGCTCAGTATACTAATATTAGGTTCAGTTATCATTGTTGCATTCATTTGTTTATTGCTGTCATTAACAGTGACGATTTATCAATCAATTCAAAGATATTCTTCTGATATATCAAAGTTTTTTTTCCTGTTTAGTATTATCTCTTAATGCAACAAATCTTAGTGCATTTATACGTCATTCTCAGCTGTTTAAGTGTATGTGGTTTAGCAGTTGTCGGAGCAAAATGTCCATATTCACATTTAAAGAATATTGATAGATCCAATACTAACAAAACACTACTTTTTTGTATCACAGTTATGAATTCTACTGTTTATAGATATTGTCTCCATAGTTTGCATGATTTCTCTACTCTCACTGGCCAATAAGTCTATAAAATCAATCGTAGTTTTTATTCACTGTTCACTTAGTTCATTACTGGCGTCCACAAAGAATATAAGTCAGCACTGGTATATCCGGCAGAAAATTTCACTTCATGAAAATGGTAAGAAAATGATTTTCCTAGATTTCTATTGAACATTGTTCTCATATTCTTTGTGATATTAATAAACTCTTTAAAATTAAAATAAAAAACTAATCAAGTACAAATTTACTTCATGAAAAGTAATATTTTTAGAGACATGTGTATAATACTGAATTTAGTCAAAATTGGTTCTGAATTGGACGAAAAAATCTTTTGTAAAATACATGTACATTGTATATAGAAAATACCAGAAGTTATGTTATTTAATTGGATAAGATAAATGAAAATATACAAAATTGTGTTTTTAAACCATGAGACAAGTGCATCATCTTCATCGTAATTTTTAGAATTTTTTTTCTGTCCAAAAATATTTTTTAAAAATTAAAAAGTCATTTAGTACAATATACACAATATCCTTGGTTTGGGGGGATTTTTTTAAATAAAAGAAATGTATTGCCTGGTTTTCTTACTCTAAAGATTTTAAGACAAATGTAGAAGAAATTATTCACTTCATATATTATTTTGACCACTATTTTGCATTCAAGGTATGCCACTCGTCAGCTTTAATATCAAAATTATCAATCACAATTTAATTTCTTTTCTTACATTTTAGTTAAAGCATCGGCTAAAAGATATTTTTAAAAGTGTTTTTTGAAGTATTATTATAAGAGATCGCCATCACCTTCTTACAATTGCAAAACAGCTGAAATATCACTGAGCTACTGGATGAATATCTTATTAGACAAATATCATGTTTGGTAACACTAAGAAAGGGTTAATAATTGAATTTTTTTAATTCAACTAACCATAACATATTTTTCACTTATATCATCATATTGTACATGCATTCTAGTTAAAATTCCTGAAGTGGCAATAGAATAAACAATTGTATAAAAAAAAAGTTTCAGAATTTTTAAAAGTAAACCTTTATTTGAAAAAAGAAAATATCACTACATCCTAAAAAACTTCCTAAAATACATAATCAAAAGAAAATACAGTTTTTATGCTTCAAAAAGGGATATAAACAATTAGATCTAAACCTTAATCGAGTTTCTTCTCTTGTATATGTGAAAGAAATTGGCTTTTTGATCGTTATTTACATTATATTTTTTTCAATTCTGGTTCGAAAAGTTTTAATATAAAAGAATTGTGAAACAATTGATTCCCCTTAAACTACTTTTTGTCCATTTAAGTCAATTCTTTAAATCTAAGCCAAAAAAGAATTTTGATATACAAGTTTTCTTACAAAGAAATTAATTTTTTCTGAAATATTCTTAATATGAAGATGCTATCTAGATAAAATAAAATTGTATTTGTTGAATGTTGTTCAGTGCAGATTTTTTTTTACTGTAACATTTATAGATGGTAATTATTTTTTAATTAGAAAAAATAGTACATGTAATTAATTTGTTTTACATTACAGAGATATTGTTATTCAGTATCTTTGGACTTCCATTTTCACATAATATATGGTTATTTTTTGTCTAATCTTATTGTGACTAACAATGTCTTGGTCAATGCTAGTCAATAATCATACAACCATCATATTGATTTCCATGTGTCCTGAAATCATTATTCATTTGTCTTCGTCTTTTGTACTCAAAATAAGGTGTGAAATGACGATTAAGTTTTGTGTAATTCTAGAATCATAATGTTTAATCGCATATTTATATTGCTTTTCTGCAATAGAAAACATTTTCATCCCATTACTAATACAGAGCACACATTGTTTATGATTTTTTTGCAAAAGCTTATTGAAAAATATCTTTACGATCACATACAATCTATCAATGTGTATTTATTTTTATTGCTATGGAGACGGAAGCCGCATACTGGCAAGTTGATATTCTGCTACAAAACAGAGGAGGACCAGTGCTATAGAAAAAATGTTCTTCCGTACGAAAAATATACATGTATAAAAAATTTCTAAGTGGTTTGGCTTAAAAACTAGATTTAATACTAAATGGAGACCTCTGAAGCTTGCATAATAGTCCAGTGATGGATACCAAGCAATTACGGTCGAATTTGACACTTGTGTCAATCAGTTTTCTTGTTGATTTTGTTGCACTCTTGACTGCCGTAAAAATTTAAGAGTAGAACCAGAGAACACAAAAATTCATAATGTGTTGGCAACACCAAGTGGTAACGAAATTGTGCAATATTTATAGTCCAATGCTTTATAATTAAAACACATCAAAGTATTTAAACTTGGCTTTATATCTTGAATTGTACCCTTTTTATGTCAAAAATTTAGCTAAAGTATGTATTTAGAGGATAAGATGTATTTTTTAGTATATTTTCCTTCAAGGGAGAACTCTGTAAGCAATTGAGGTCAACCAAAAACATTCTACTCATCAATTTTTTTGTTTTAATTATTCATATTTGATCAACAATAATTCTGGCATTTTTGTTGCACTCTTGACCAAGAGTAAGGGAGTCTTTAAAGTAGAATTGTGAAGCCAAAATTACATCAGAACTTGACCTTTTGTATCAGTGAAGTTGAGGTGGAATTACTTGAATTTCATAATTTTTCAGTGTTTTTTTTTTTACATTCATAAAAAATCAAAGAAAAGAATATTATACAATAATAAAACTGTCAATAATTTAGTACTAAATTATTCAAATAGATCATTATTAATTAAAGAGTACTTATAAGTATAAATAGAAGTCTTTTCATCATATAACTTGAATCTTTAAAAAAAAAAGTGTTGCACTCCTGACTATAGAAATATAGATCTGAAACACAGACAGACCCTGTAACTAATAGATCTATTTGGTAAAAAGGTTATCTTTGTCTTTATTTTCCAAAATAGAAATTAGAGAATCATATACTGATAAAAGTTTTTCTATGCTTGGGAGCAAAACATCAAATGTTGCACTCCTGACATATTTGGGTATGCATTGATACTTGACTCTCATTAATGCAGCTTGTGATTTATATAATATTTTTAAAGGTAAATCAGTTATTGTCTTACACTTTGAAAATTCTTTTTTGACTTAATTGTCTTACAGATTTTTTAAATCAATGTTTTTTGGCAAGACTACATTTTTTTGTTGCACTCCTGACATGGTATAAAAAAAAAATTTCAACATCAGCCATGACCACAACGTGCTCAACGAAAAGTTGCTGGTCTATATTTAAAGCTCAATACTTTGAATATTATCAGGAAAGTCTTTATTTCCAACACAAACCATTATTATTTATTTCAGTGATGTTCAAAAAATATTGAGATTTTAAAATGTCACAAAAAGATATTGCACTCCTGACATTTTTTTAGCATTAATTTTGAGCATAACTTTTTTGTGTGAACTGAGATATCAATGAGATATTTAGCAGGTATTTTGACACTATCTAAAGACATATGCTGAGACATAGAAATCTATGCCCATTGCCTGTATTTTGATGCAGGCTGATAAATATGTGTCTGGTCTTTTTTTTTTTTTAATTCACCAAAAACTTATTTCCATTTTATCCTGCTATTTGAATATTCGTCATGTAGACTATCACCATGCAGACTGAGTCTGAGACTATTTACAAACTATTAGTTCTTCTGTATTACTTTTACTCCATATTGTGACCTCTCACATTGGCCTCTCTTGGTCTTTGAAGAACATTTAATATGCTATCTTTGTCTTTTTGAAGAACATTTGATAAGTATCTTTATCTCATTTTTATTTATTTATTATTTACAAGTCTACCTCATCATTAAAACTATGAAAGTACTTTTTTGTATTATACAATAAAAGTTTTTGCATAATTCTCTTATTCTATTAACTTTCAAACACATTATTTACAGTGATTAATTATCAAAAGTGAATGGCAAAGGGGAATAACTTCTCTCAGTTGAATAAAAACTAATAGAACCCTGGCCAGGACCAGAACACTCGACCAAATGGTCCTGATGTACAAAAATCTGGTAAAAATATCCTTGCTTATTAAAACTTTTATTTTGTTTGCCTTCGATATGCCAAGGAGCAGAGAAGATTCAAGATTTTTCAAGGTTCTAGAGAAGAAGTTGAAAATGTTCAAAAGTTAACGCACGACGACTACAGACAAAAACGGATAGCAATAGGTCACCTGAGAGACTCAAGTGACCTAAAAAAGATCGAAATCTAAACATAAAAGAAAAACATCAAAATACCAATCTCCAAGTATATACAATTGCATTGACTAAATACAGAAAAATTCCTCTGTATCGTAAACTTTTGATCCAAATGTGCATTTGTATAACATTGATTTATTGAATTGTAACGGAAACGCTTTAAGGCACAAGAAAATAATGCAAATTTCATGAATAAATATTGTTGTCAACTGCGCATGTCAATTCCAATACATTTATTTATTTAAGGAATATATTGTGTTTAGGTTTAATACAAAATGGTTCATTTGTTTAGACAACTATTGTCACAGAACAAGTTGCGAGTCTGGGGGAATTCAAGCATAAATTCAAGCCATCACAATAGAAATGAATAAAGTCCAAGCATATTTAATTAGATGAACTATTTTCTCTTAATAAAAAGAGAAAAAAATATTTAGAGGTCTATATGTACTAATATTGGAAACAATGCCTAGGTCACATTTAAGTCGATGGTCGGGCAACCAAACTTTTCTGGTATCGTCGGCTGAAAAAAAAAAAAACATGATCGGCCGACACGAGCATCGGGCGACACGTAGCAGTCACATTAATTCCTAGGAACACTGATGAATTTAAAAAGTTAAATATTTGTAAGTCGGCCAATCATCGAGCGCTGAACTACAGTTTGATTTTAACCGTCCGCAGAAATTTTGGAAAGCCCTAAATGTCGACCGACCGATGACCGACTTTATTAAGTGACCGCCGATGGTCGGACTGCTTTAATTGAAGAAATCGGCCACCGACGCAAAAAACAAATTATAACTTGGCCCGATGGTCGCAAAATTGGTCAGCCGACGAAAGAAGAGGTCAAAATCGGGCAAGACAACGGCCGATGAACCGCCAACCTTCACCCGAAGAATCCCATTTTTGCTTCAAAAACCGTCGGCCGTTGGTTGTTTTTGGAAATGTTACTGGGGTTTAAAAGAATACAGACACCAAGTACTGGAATTCTTAAATCTGTTAAGGCAAAAGATAGGAAATTATATAAAGTTCTCTGTGGAGTTAAAGTTACATGTATAAACATTAAATATTTTTTTTCAAAACAGCATTTTTGGTTGTAATTCAAAAAGTAATACTAGTACTCTAAGTTTTAAATGGACTTTATCTTCAGAAATTTTCATACAAATACAATTTCCATTTCAATATATATCACTGTTTATTCTAATCATGATTTCAATTATAAGCTACTTCTTTAGCAACAATTAAGTAGCAATTCTATTTCATTGGGGGGGGGGGGGAGGGGGGGGGGGAGTTGTTAGACATTTCGCTAACTTTTCGGTACATTTTTCTTTTTCAAATGCTGGATTTTGCCAGCGTCCAACCTTTCAACAACAAAAAGTGGGGAGCCAAACAGCATCTAAATAAAAATTTACATAATTAAATTTACAGCAAAAGACTATTCTCAGAAAAATGGGGGTGGGTGCTGAAATCTACTTACTACAGTCCTGAAATCTATTAACCATGGGAATTTATTTTACCTGGATTTCTCAGGTAGGGCATATTGGGAATAAGCTGTTTTATGTATTGGGCAGTAAAATATTGAAATTAAATCTACTTATATCTCATGCATATCTGTTTTAGGCACCATTGGCTAATGACGATCAGACGATAAAGGAGGTCTTAGTAGCAATGGCAGAATCTTCCTCTCTTCACGGCATCTCTCGAGGAGTGGCCTCCAAGCATTGGTATCAAAGAGTTCTCTGGTTTCTTGTCTTCCTTGGCGCTACCGGCGGAGCAAGCTATCAACTTTGGCGTCTGTTCTCGTCATACACGACATATCCAGTAAAAACTTCGGTGGAATTAAAATTTTCAAGTCTTTCCTTTCCTGCCGTGTCCTTCTGCAATATGAACCCGATCAAATTATCAAAACTGAAACTGGCAAGCACTGAAACTATAAAGATAATAAACGTAAGAACTTTATAGCTGAAAATAAATTAATTACATTCAAATTCATTATGTTGATTTAATTACATTGCCTTTACACTTTAGAAACTGAGCTGGAGACAAGTGGTCTCTTGTTCGGAGACGAACACTGTATCAACTGTTCTTGATAAGAAGATATTTAAATATTTTTTCCCCTTTATGTTCCCATGCATGTAATGTATCCCCATTGAGGCCCCAACCCTACCTCCAAGTTGTATGATTTGAACAACCCTCAGTTTGCATTTCCTGATGATGCTTGCATATTTTTGAGAAAAAAGATTTCAAAAGTTTTTTTTCTATATATTCCAATATAAAACCTTAATTCCTTTTTGTGGCCCAAGCCTACTCTCGGGGATCATGATTTGAACAAACTTGAATCTGCACTATCGAAGGATTATGATTAACTTAGTTTTCCTGCTTTTAAAAAGAAGTTTTTATCAGATTTTTTCCTATATATACCTACAAGTAATTTTTTTCCTCTACTGTGGGCCACTTTACCCCATGGGGTCTTGAAATAACCAAATTTGAATCTTCGTTGCACGTTAAGTTTTTTTCTTTTCTGGAAAGTGGTTCTTGAAAACATTTTTAATGCAATCTGAGCTGCATTTTTTTAAAATTTGATTTTGCTGTTAAAATGTGCTATTCTGATCAATTTTCATGTAATTTAAACCTTTTACATCAATTTGAGTTTGATAAAGTATTAAATTGTTTCAGAACAAAGACATATGTACAATCGAATATATATCATAATATAAAGAATCAATATTGTACAGGACGATACTAATGTAATTCAATCTTCAATCAAAGCTTAAAAATAATTCTTCCATCGCAAATATGAACAACAGAAGTTTATAAACGTTCTTTTTTCCTGTCATTCTGAATCATATCCCTTTGAAAGAGGGAGTAGCCCTTACGGACAAATCTGAATTCCTTTTACCCAAGAATGCTTTGTGGAAAGTTTAGATGAAATTGGCCCACTAGTTTAGAGAAGAAGAAGCTTAAAAAAAGAAGGGTAAAGACATCACACAACATATAAAACACAGGACAGAGAGACAGATGGTTCAGAAAAGCTCCTTTAACTAAGGACCCTCTATAGACACTAATGACTTTGAAGAAATAATATGGTATAAAGGTGTAATTATTTAGTTGGTCTATTTTTCATTCTGTCATTCTTTCCATAGAAAATTGTTTAAATACAGCAAAGTACTGATGAACAGAAATATTGAATACAAGCTGTGTGTTACGGTACACCCTAGATTTCAGTGCAATCGATTTAAAATGGGGATATAACTGACTCTTATTTCATGAAATACCATAGAATTGGAATTTTTTAGTGTTCAGTGTGTAGAGGGACCTTAATAAAGAAAGGGGGGATCTAAGAATGGATTTTAGATAAAAGACTTGAGGCTTGCATGTAAAAAATGACTTCAAATCCATGTGCATGTTTTATTTATGAAAATAAGAAAATATTTTAATTATGAATTATCTTTCTCTTATCGAAGTAAAATGTTTATTATCCACAAATAAGCGGAATGAAAAGGATTTTCTTACACTGAGTTTTAAATTCTTTCTAACAGGGCAATGGCGACAGTACATCGTATGGACAATCACAGGGTAAGAGAAAGAAAAGAGGCACCGCCAGCGATATTCTTTTGGCCAAGATTCGTTATTTTGCCTCAAAGAAATCGCAACCCAGTCCAAATTTGGTAAAGGGATACGATCGTAATAAAGAAGAACACAAAACATCATTAAAAAAAATTCTTCGTAGAATAAAAAGAGACCATTTGTCATATGGCAACTCATCTGGAAATACATATGCTTCGTCTGTGTCCACGCCTGGATATGGAAATTCAGATTACTATAGCAGTTACCTGCAGAATCAGCAATTACAAGACTCTTTTGTCCAAGATGAGTGGAACAAACGAGTGACGAATTTTCGATCCGCCTTTCAAAAGAACGACAGGTAAAATTTAAAAAGAGTAAAGTGACACAGGATAGTCTCAAAATAAAATACGTCTACAGTTCACAAAAAAAACCCGAAGGTTTGAATGCATATTTCACATGTTCTATAATAAACTACCGGAATTATACATTAATATTATATGACACTCACTGCAAGTAATACATTCAAGGGATATGGAACGAAAAAAAAGAACTTAAAATAAAAAATCACACTTTCTAGATTTCTGAAAAGCGGTTTAGTCCGACGTATCTGAAAGTGGCAAAGAGATTATAAAATTATATAAATTAATATATCTGGGGTTCAAGTTCTAGATGGAATGGGTTTATATGATGAAATACACATAGCTTTATAGAAATGTGGATGGATGGTCAATTATCTCCTATTTATCAGTGTACAGACACTGGTTTGCATTTTTGTGTGGTAGCTCAAGGCATAAGCAAGTTGAAGTTGTTACAGATCTAGTGAAATAGTGAAAATAAACCAAAATTTCATAAATTTTAAGACTTTCCCTATGTGGTCTTTTTTTGATAAATATGTAAATTGTATGTTTTTTCCCTCATTGAAGTTTAGCTGTATCAAAAGTCGACCAATACAGTCCGGAGATATTTTCATTAGTAAAAATTCTTATGAGACAAATTCCAGCTTGACCACCTTTGTAAGTATTACTGACGAAAATTCATAATATATTTATTTAGAATATTTTGTAATTTTGCAACTTGAGCATCTAGGATTTTGGGGGGTTTTCAACCCATACACATCTATGACAGTAAAGTGATGAGGACATATGTATACCCGAATTCATCAAGTTACGCCGAAAGCGAATTAATAAAACTAGTAAGGAGGAAAAACCGATTTAAAAAAATAAGGCACAAAGTCAGCAAAAATCAGTTGCAAGTGCTATATAAGTGCACACGAGAACCAGCGCTCAAACAATGACAACAAATACTATGCGAATGGAACAAGTAATCAAAGAAACGTTTCATGGCACATCAGCATAATTCACTTCTTTAATATTGACTCAAATTTTGTAAACATATTAACCAGGAAAATGGGATCAAAAGTCGTTAAAGGATTTTTAGGGAGTCACATTTTATATTCCATGTGATGAAATATCTTTCACAAACTCTCAGTAAATACGTTAATGTCCAAACCAAAATAAGGACTCGGTACGGTACCTTGTCAGAGGCTGCCACATCTGTTTCATATTTGGATATTTTACTGATTATGGACGTATGGCCAGGTTACAAGTAAATAACAAGCATGATGACTTCAGCTTTTCCATCGTCCCTTATCCATAAGTAGTACAATTCTCTTTTCTGCTTGAACTTTCAGTAAGGCGTGACATTCTCGGCGATACATAATTAGCGTCTCTCGAATGGTGACCTAGATTCTCATTGGTTAAGAAATTAATAACATGAGCAACTTTAGATTGTTGTTAACAAACGATGAGATGACATAAGCCACACCTCTTTACTGTAAGAAACGATGTAATTGGTCTGACTCATTTTTATCCCATGTGTATTTCACCTGTGAATGAAAAGCTGCGTAAATTTCAGTATTGATGAGTTAATCTGGCAACCTATGAGAATCTAGGTCACTATTTGAGAGACGCTTATAATGTATAGCCGAGAATGTCACGCCTTACTGAAAGTTCAAGCAGAATAGAGAATGGTACTAATATTCACACATAACGTGTATTTGTTGTTTATGTTTCCCATCTGATTTGGTATGAAAGAGCATTTTCTGAGTACGATCAACCGGAGCAGGCTACTGAAAAATAAGTTAATGTTTCAGGACCTTCAACAATCTCGTTAAAAGTCAGTATTTTGCAATTATTATGGTCGATATAAAGACTGTTTGCAAATACATTCTAATCTTGCATGGGTCGTATTTTGACTGATGTATAGCTGACCAATACGCAAGTTTCGAGATTACCTCCCTTGGTGCGCTCTTTCGTTACGGGGGAGTTTTGTTTTCGCATAAACCGGCAGGTGGGATGGGACAGTTTTATATTGGATACGTTACATTATCGATATGCCGGTCCATCATACATGATTGTCGGGATACACTCTTCAACTCGAAAATTAATGAATTAAAGTAAAGGCTTCAAATTTTTTTTTTGAATTTTTTCTACCCAAAAACTCGGAATAAAAAGAAAATTTAAGTGGATAATACTTTCAGACGAGGGAAGAGATAAGGATCTCTAATAAATGCACGCATCTGATCATTGCAAGTCTGCATTCTGAATGACGACTGTCTGTTTCCCTTATAATAATTTAAAAGAGCCCATTAACTTTATCATTCAAGGAAGAGTCTTTTTCAGAAAGACTATGACGGTTCTTTTCTTTTCAAGTATCCTAATTGAAAGTAGATTCTGTAAAACACGTGTTGTATAGCTCTTTAAAATCATCAAAATTATCACTGCTATTATAACATGTTGTTACATTATAATCTCTCTTTAACATTAAATGAATTTTAAAATCCCTAGCCATTTTTTTTACGTTTACTAGATCTACTGATAGCTTATAGTGCGTGTAACTGGTCGAGAGGGGATGCTTACTACTGCTAAGCACATGATCCCACCTCTACAGACCTAGTAAAAGGAGTAATCAACGAATTCAATCGATGATTGTTATGATCAGAGAAATACCACAGGTAGTATACAATTCGTTAAGACCGAATGAAAATTTGAGCATTTGAGCAGATGAAGCTTTAGCATGTACTTCAGTGATTTTTTGTTGCAATAAAATTTGAAACAATTTATTAGGATTAAGCAATAAGGATATTCAAAAACTCTGTTTTCCTTAACTGTAGGAGAACTTCACGCACGGGTGAAGCAAGTTGTGAATCAATTGCCCAAATGTTATACCCTGTTAAAACCTGTTTTGTCCTACCTTGTACTTAATAGTATGACGTATATTACGCTCACATCCATGTTTGCGATAAAGATGGCAAAATTTTGGTATAAATTTTGTTTACCTGCACTGCGGATTTAACTTGGTCAGTTCCGAAACTGTGGTACTCCAACTATAAAGTTGGCCTGCTCATGTCTAAGTAGTCCATAATACAAATTCACCATGCACGGTGTTAATTTGTATGATAACCTACAGAAAATGAATCACACTGTGAAGAATGTCCCTCAGTAAATCAAAGGACTGATGCAGTACTGAAAGACGGGGTCAAATAAGAAACTTCATTATTTTACAATTTTCATTACTGTATGTTGAAATTTTTTGTAGGGCTTTGATATCAACTGAATTTTTTAAAAAAGATTTTTAATATTAACATAAAATTAAAAAAAAAATTTAAAAAAAAAACACTGTGAAAAATAAATCTTTACGTTTTTCATTTAGACTGTAATAGATTAATCAGTAATCACTAGTCAAGAAACCTTTTTGAATTGTCCGAATTTCCCCGGGTCCGAATTACTATCATTATGGCATTTCTGGAAGTCAACAATCGATGATGCGTACGCAGTCATGTTTTACAAAGCCAAGTAGTTTGTATACCAGAGTGGTTCAGTATTACGTTTTTCACGTTTAAAATTTTCAAAACGCTTCTTTAATTTGAGTAAGAAAATCTTCCTATCACTCTCTTTAGTTTGATTCAGCGCATTTGTATTTTAATCAAAACAATTTCCGCACTCTTTCATTTAGCGTAGATTTAATTCATGTGTTCTCCGCACGGCTTCCGTTTTGAGGCCTCAACGGACAGTAAACATAATAGACGGGGTAACGTGACCCCGTCTAAAAATCACGAAGCCCCTCGTAACTTGGTATGATACATGTATGTACAGTGTAAAAAATGTCCATTAGAAGAGATCCCGCCGCATAACCCTCGAATTTTTTTTAAATTTGTTACTTGAACATTATTTCATTCATTTATTTCTTAATTTAAAACTCTGAATTGGATAATTTTCTTTATAAGTATGTATTCCTTCCACCCCTCCCCATCCCCTCCCAAAGTATACATATACTGTGATTGTATAATTAATTTTAATGAGTCAGTATTAAAAAAATCCATTAATAAACATGTAAAGACATCCACAATCGCACATCAGCGCATCATACTCTGAAAAACTCTGAATGAATCCATTTTCGAAATGACTTCATTTTTTCCATTCTTTCTTTCAGTCTTGAATTCAGTAGGAAAATCTTTTCAAAAACAGTAGGGCCAGGATTATTAAAATGACTATGCAACCATCTTCAGGTGATGCAGATTCAAATACGTCCAAATCATGATCCCTTGGGGTTAGGATAAGGAGGTCAAAGCATGGAAATACATTTGAAAATTGGATTGATTGATTGATTGATTAATGTTTTACGCCGAATCGGCACTATTTCAGCCATATATCGGCGATTTTGAAAATTGGAAAAAAATATTGCTAAAATTGAAAATCATTTTCCTGAGAAAGGCAAGGTCAGATATGCAAGTATTCCAAAGTTGTGTTGATTCAAGATCTGTTTTCAAATTATGGATCCTTAGGTTAAGGTGGGTCTAAAATTGGGTGTAAAAATTTACACAATGCATGTACGAGATGAATAAGATCTTTTTAAAAAATCTTTTTCCAGAACAGCAAACTTATGTCATTTCAGTCATATTGATATTGAAGCATTCCCATGCTGTTTGGATTCAAGTTCAATTTAATCATAATCCCTTGGAGCTAAGGTGGGGTCATAATATGGGGTCAAAAGTGCTCATGGGAATAAAGAGTTCAGAACAGATAGGCCAAGGTGATTCAGGTGAGTGTTTTGGCCCATGGGCATCTTGTTATCAAAGAAATATTCAAACTATTTGAACACTTTTTATTCCTCAGAGACATCAGAGAGGACATTGGTCACAACATTTCGGATATGTTGTTGTCGTGTGCATTTAATGGAAAAGAATGCTATGTTGCGTAAGTTTCAATGATCAGATATTTCAGAATTGAGGGATTACGTTACTTTTATATGTAAAGATCAATTACGGGACCAATTTCTTGATCTACCATCATAAAGATTTCTTTATGTTCATTTTAGAAATTTTACCCTTTTCCAGTCCTTGGAATATGGTAACTGTTACACCTTTGAAAGTAGTTCCTACGTCACGAAACAATCTGGACCTCTTCTTGGTATGTAAATGAATAGATAAAATGTAAATTGAAGAAAATATCCATAAAAAGTGAAGGTAATGATGTTGAATAGTTCATCATCTTAATTGATAATTTTGCTTCAAAATTTTATATCATGAGGCCTTTCCAAGTTTTTTTTTCTCTATGTTTAGAGTCCGCATGCGCCTTGGTTTTTGACACCCAGATCAGAAAAAAATAAACAAAATCAGGTCCTGACATTGAATATTCTGGTCGAAATGTTTGAATTCTGTCAATTTCTCTCAATATTTGTCGCCGATATGTCATATTAGGTATATTTACATGTAAGCATTTATTACCTCCATTTTGCAATAGAATAGATCTTTCTACGAGAAAAAAACCCAGAAAGTATAGATAAACGCCTTAAATTTAGATGTACAATATTTCAACAGAGAAAGATATACGTACATGCATGATACGATTATTGAAAAGTCACTATGAAAACTTTTTGTATGTGCACGTTTTTTATGCATACATTCACCTCTGTCGTTGGCTCGCGTATATCACAGTGAAAAGCACGAGAAATAGTGCGTTTGTTTTAATTCATTATAATTAAATGTCTGAGATAATGATAGTCCTTAAAGATAGATATTTACTAAATAAATATAAAACTCTGAGTTTAATTTGAAATAATCTTTGAAATGTTATGTTTTAACGTTACGTCAAAAATCTTGACGCGAGCCCATTGCAGAGGTGTCTGAGAGAGGGACGAACGACAACTCTGCATAGGAGATTGGTTTTTATGTTGATAGGTTTAAGAATGACATTAAATATTGAGACATCAGAATATATTAACAACTACATGGACGCCAGTGGAGTAAGGCTGGTAATTCATGAACCTGGGACTCTTCCATTTCCAGAGGATGAAGGCTTTACCCTCAACCCTTCATATGAAACAACAATAGGAATGCGAATGGTATTAATGCATTTTTTTTAATTCAAGTCCAGCATATAATTGTTAAAATCTTAGCACTATGCATTGATTTGATTTTGTATGTAAACAATATTGCCCAAAATGAAAAAAATAACTTAAGTTTTTTTTTATTCCTGCATTATTTCTTTTAACTACAGTTTTTTTATAATTTTCACACGATGGGTTAGCAGATTCCGTATTAATTAGCAAGATAAAATTCTCGTATCATAAAACATTTTTTTTTTTATCAAAACAGTAAAAAAAATCTTGATCCAAGTTGACATTATGTAAATATTGCATGCGGATGTAGTTGAGTGCAACATTGAAATTTCTTACCCCAAGGAAACCATTGTCAACCGAGGCGCAGCCGGGGTTGACAGGGGTTTTTGAATGGTGAAAATTTTCAATTTTACAACTACAGGCAATATTTATTATATTATACTGAATGATTTATACAAGTACATGAATAGTGAATCGTTCGCGCATAAATTTTACGCAGTCATTATTTTTTGGAATATCACCTGTCGTCAAGCAATGTTGCCTTTTGCTACAAGTACGTTCTATCACGCTGGAGGGCGTGGTTTCATTACTCAAGAGGGTAACAGTGCTTTTTAACAAATCAGTCGAATGAGATTCAATTAATTTACATGAAAGTTTATCCCCAACTACCCAAACTCCGTCGCCATAAGCGGAAAACACGCCAGGTTACTCTCCGAATTTTGTTTGTTTGTTTGTTTGTTTTTTGATTCGTTTCTTGTTTGCTACACTTAGTAATGAACTTAAACATTGTTTTTAGTACTATTTTTAAAAATGCAGTTATCGGGCTAATATAAAACCACTACAAGTACAATTGATGCAAAGCATCAAATCGGCCGCAAACAAAATTTAAGTTTCAAAAAGTACTTTTCACAATCGAGCATCCAAAGAAAGCACAAGATATTCAAAGCTGAGAGAGGGATCGTTTTTATTTCAGACTGTCTTCAAAGCAAAAAAATAAATAAATAACATAAATGAATAAAAATAAAATAAAATAAATAAATGATAAAACAAAATAACATGAAAATAAATAAATAAAAATTTTAGTACATTTGATCATCAAACTGATTCATCTATGTAATAAAGGCAGTTATAAATGATAAGAATTTATTGTCATCAAAATTCTCAAGATGAACCACGTGCCGATACCCTGGATCTTTGTCACGTGATATGCCGATGAGCTTTCCTGCACGGCGCGGTGCAAAATGTAGAAAAAAAATTATCCTTGTGTCATTTGCAGCTATAACATATTCAAAACAATTTTTATTTGTTGAACAACTCTTCAATTTTTATTCAACATGCACTTATCCGGAAAATCAAACCGATTTGCGTTCATATCTTACACACTCCCAGGTTGGGGTACATGTACCTATTGTAAACTCTTTTTATATAATCAATTAATGACAATTATCTCATGAAAAAAATAATAAAATTGAAATATAATAATAACAATTAAGATTTAGTTTAAAGCAAAATTTTACTCATGATTTAATAAATGTTATCATGAAAGAATTATTTTACTGAATTAATAAAGAAATAACGTCTCATTTCCCCATGTGCACTTTCTAACACGAACACAAATAGATCGGCCGCTGCTACGGCCGATAATAAATAGAAAGTCGTACATCCGTGTACATGTACATTACGTCCAACGAACACTGAATAACTCCGTCACCAGCTGGCCCTCTACAATATGTCAACGTATAAAAAGAAATGTGTATCCAGTTTAGTTTTTTTGTCTCTTTTTCTTAAACTTGTAAACATAAAAAATAGTTTTAAAGATATAAAATAGCATTAATTTTATTTTAGGAAAAGTATCAACAACAGAAAAAAAAACGTTAATTTAACGTATTTTATATGTAATAACGTTATCTGAAACATGTGACGTATTAGGGCATATTGAGATGAAAAATAAAATAGCCGTCCGTATGAAATGTCATATGAATCCTTTGGCAAAGACATTCATAACTATACGGCTGACATGTAAAAAAGAGCATATTGACGCACATGTCAAAAGTATCGTTGGAATTGCGCTTAAAAGAAAAAAGTGCTCACTGATTTCACATAAAATATGATAGATACAATAGATTACGTGTAATTGTTATTTATTTTTTACGCATTCTTGAACTTGACTGTCAGAATTTCTCGGAATTTGATTGTATTTCAGCAGGTAAAAAATAACGTCACAATCGCATTCGTTACAAAAAGCTTGGAGTTTCCCGAAAGTGACGGAGTTAAGGGGTTTGGCGATAATATAGCACATATAATACATCGTATTTAAAGTAAACTAACGTCTTCTTTACTTTTTCTTAGCTATCGATCCAGAGAGCATCAGAGCCACATGGTAACTGTGAAAATGGCGAAGACTTTATGAGACTGTTTGGTATTCGATATACAATCCCGGTAAGTGTGTAACGTCGTAGCTAACCTGATCTGAGAGTTTTCTTATCAAAGCTCGTCCATCATTTATCTGTCATTGTCTTTTGTGTTTTTACATTTTCGTCTCCTTCAAAAGAAACGCTTTGCCAATTGTAACCAAACTTGGCATGAAACGTCCGAGGTTGACTGTAGCCCTCTGACTGAGAAAATTCGGACAGACAAACAAGAGATCTTGTCTGTCCAAATTTTGTCAACCATAGAGCTACAGTTCTGCAGGTAAAGTCAAACAGCACTCAATTTGGTTTATACAAGGGTGTAACATGTTCTTCCAAAGTCGAAGGAGGGGGGGGGGGGAGAGGGTAATTAGGAAAGCCAACTGAGCTGTTTCCTGTAAATATTTTTCCACAGAGCCATCGACAAAAAAAGGGGTTCGGTGTTACACATAACAACTGTGAACATTTTCTCCTAGCCAGAAGATCCTTAATAAAATTTTCAGATTAGAATGAAAGGAAATTTATAGAAAATATGTCTTTTTTTAGATCAAAAGCACATTGATTCATTATATAGAATAAAAGTTTTATACAAAGCTAAAGAACACCAAGAAGATCTTTTTGCGAGTTAAAAGAATAAAATATATGCTTTGTCGCTCAATATTTGCACAAATGTTCATAAATTCTCTGAAAATATTCTCTCTGATTAGCTCCAACCATTGGAGAAAGATGTGCTCTGATTCTTTTTTCCAGAACTTTAATAAAAGAACAAGAGGCCCATGGGCCACATCGCTCACCTGAGCACTGTGGCAAGGAAAAAAGCATAAATCAGTTCAGTATTCAAAAGCTTAAATGCATAAGTGGTCCCGACCTACCCCTTAAAGGGGGGTTTGATTTGAAGAAAATTGAATCCACACTAACCAACGATGCTTACATATTTCTTTGACTAACTGTGGCTTTTTTCTTACAAGTTAAAACTTTCTTTGTGCCCCCACCCTACCCCTGGGAGTCATGATTTGAACAAACTTTTATCTACACTATCTGAGGATGCTTCCATATGAATATGACCAATATATCATGGCTTTGCTGTTCTTGAGAAAAAGATTTTTCCTTTATATTCCTATGTAAAACTTTGATCGTCCATTGTGGCCCCACCCTACCCTTGGGGGTCATGATTTGAACAAACTTGAATCTTCACCACCTGAGGATGCTTTCACATAAATATGACCAATCATGGCTTTGCTGTTCTTGAGAAGAAGATTTTTAAAGACTTTTCCTATATATTCCTATGTAAAACTTTGATCGTCCAGTCGGGCCCCGCCCTACCCTCGGGGGTCATGATTTGAACAAACATGAATCTACACTACCTGACGATGATTCCACATGGGCTTCATCTTTCCTGGCCCATTGGTTCTTGAGAAGAAGATTTTTAAAAGATGCCATTAATTTTTCACTATTTTGTAATTATCTCCCCTTGGAAGAAGGCGTGGCCCTTCATTTGAACAAATTTGAATTCCCTTTAGCCAAGAGTACTCTGTACCAGGTTTGGTTGAAATTGTCCCAGTGGTTCTCGAGAAGAAGATGAAATTGTGTAAAGTTAACGACGACGACAGACAACGGACAAAAGCTCCTTGAGCCTTCGGCTCAGGTGAGCTAAAAAAGGGGGGAATTAATGTTTAGTACTTGCTTTAGGTAATTTAAAACACAGATCAACTTCCTTGTGCATATACTTACAATTCATTAAGCTAAACATACATCTTTTTAAATATTAATAATGATAGTAATAATAGTTCCTTGTTTTTATTTAGTCGTGTTTGAAGCTCTGCAAGCAAAGGGAGATAATGGAGAGATGCTTTTGTTTACCATCTACGGCCTATTTGAATGTTGGGAATCTAGATGGTTACAGGCCCTGTTCAGTAAACAAAAGTAAGTTTATTATTTACTTTTCTTATTTTACTTTGATACTGTATTTTACTTATAAAATTGGCTGAAACAAAGAATCGAAGTAGTAGGAACACTTCAACGTGTCAGAATTTTGTGACTGACATTATTCTTGATGTCCTAATCTTCAATTTGTTTAGCTTACTTTTTTGAAAATTGTGAAAAATTCCATCATTCACTATCCTATAGTGTAGGTGAGACCAGTAAGTGGGAAAACTATTTATAGCGTTTTATAAGATCTTGACCCTAATCATCCTTAGGAACATGTATTTATGGAGTAAATGAGAGAAATGCGGGCTAAAAAGGTATTTGTATCCTGTAAACATATTTCTACGAATGTATTTGTTCGTATCTGACATGTATTTTTTCGTATTTATAGTGAAGGTTGACTGTGAAAAATTTATCAACTACAAGATTGAAAACCAGCTTATCACCTGCAACTGTCTCAGTCCATGCAAGTAAGTCTAAAATTAATCATTCTACCTAAAACAGATAAAGGGATTTAAATTATTATATTCAAAGCTTTATATTGCGAATTATTTTTTTTTAAATAACTTCATTATCATATTAATAAATTCCATCCCATATACATTGCATCGTATCATCCCTGCTTTATATTTCAAATCTTTTTTTTTTCATCAGACAATTAATTTACGAAACAAGTTTATCAGGAAGGAAATGGCCAGGTGACCAGTTTATGGTAAGATTTTTAAAAAAGTGCAATGTTTGTCTGTTTGACTTTCAACAATTCATTTTAATATCATAACGTTCATTGTCGTTTATCAAGATAATGTTTGTTTCTCCCACAATAGAGACGCATCCAAGGCCTACCATCCTTTCAACGTCAGGGGTTCTGAGTCAACATATTGCCATTCGACCCTGACAATTCCCTAACAAAAAAATACTATAGTTAATTATAGTTAACTTAACTATAGTAAACTATAGTAAATCAAAGTGTCAAAGTTATCACTATAGTAAATCAAAGTTTTAAAAGTGATCACTATAGTGTCATGGTGATCACTATAGTAAATCAAAGTTTTCAAAGTTATCGTATAGTAAATCAAAGTTTTCACCATAGTAAACCAAAGTTTTCATAGTGATCACTATAGTAATTCAAAGTTTTCATAGTTATCACTTTAGTAAATCAAAGTGTCAAAGTTATCACTATAGTAAATCAAATTCATAGTGTCAAAGTTATCACTATAGTTAACTATAGTAAACTATAGTTAACTATAGTTTTTTTTTGTTAAGGAAATTTCATTCGTTTTTATTTGGGCTTGCTTCTCTCATTGGGAAGCACCAATCAAATTGAAGTAGACAGATAATGTAAACAGAAAGGAATGAGTTGAGACCTAAAATGCACATGTTACGCATTGTTTATCACCGAAAGACTTAGTGTAATTGGTTGAGAGATAAGAAAAACAATTAAGATTTGTTATTTTCCCGAAAGACGTCACCGCAGTCAGCCCGCAAGATATCGAATGAAATTTGTCAGGGGTCGAACGGCAACATGTTGACTTTGGACCCCTGACATTGTGAAAATGAAGGTCTAGACATGTCGTTGACTGCTTTTTATTTGAAAATGAAAATAAGTATTGTCGTGTACTTATTCTGATTTTCAAAATAAAAGTGAGTAAACTTCAGATGTACTAGCATTTTCTATCAATACTTCTTACGGTAAATAAAACTTACGTTCAACTCTTTGATCATTTACCAAACAGTCTTATCCAACAACTATAGGCGAGGGTGGGCTTTCTTTCATCCTCAGTGATAAAGTTAGAAAATTTACAGACATGGAATAAAGAATCAAAGATACAGGTTTTAAGATATAGAAAAAGGTGTTTTTTACACAGAGTCGTAGGTCTATATTAATATATTCAAGTATTTTAAATAGACCATAAAGTTGTACATGAGTGTACATGAGTTGTACAAGGTTACTTTCAAAGGCGACATTGCGAAAAAAGAGTTAATTTACCTACACCTTATTTTATATGTAAAATACTTTTATATAATTAATTCAGAAGTGTGACTTTTTAGAAATATATAAAACGACTTTCCTTTCAACTATTACCGCTCGGAAATTGCACTTTTGCAAAATTATAGCCCTAATCAATTTAAACTATGTGAGTTTTGAAATGCAAATTAAATTTGTTTTTAAATTTATTATTTATTTCTGGCTTTTTTCTTATACTATTAAATTCAGAATTTGAATCAACTAACTTCACAAAGTTTTAAAAGTAAATGTAATTATGAAAGGATACATACAAGCCAAAAAAAAAATGAAATTCTATTTTAAGGTCAGACAACACGGTCCTCAATAATATATATCGATAATTGACGTTTTTTTCTGGATTTTTAATCTACTTTTGGTAACCATGGCAACATCTTTTATGGAAATCAAAAGCTGATAAACATTGAATTATGTACATTAAAGGCTGACTGTACACAAAGTCATTGAAATCGAACCACAACTCTAGGAGGAGTAGCGGTTTGAATGAATTTCACAAAATATTTCTTTTTACTAATAACCAGGTCAACAGTGTTCAATGAAATCAGAAACCGATAAACAGAATTAATAAATGTATCTTAGTATAGTCTACTTGTGCTCCAAGTATTAATGAAATCCAGGGTCAAAGCTGTTGGAGGAGTAGAGTTTTGAAAAAACAAATTTTATTCTTATGAAGTTTTCACATAAGTTTAATTTTTTTGCCCAGTGGTTCTTGAGAAGGTTTTTGAAGATTTTTTTCCTATACATTCCCATGTAAAACTTTGATCCCCTGTTGTGGCCCCAACCCTACCCATGGAGGTCATGATTTGTGCAAACTATGTGATGAAGTTTCACATTAGTTAAAATTAGGGATGGCAACGAATATTCGAACATTCGAATATTCGTTCGATGAGTTGATATTCGAATATGAATTTAAGATTCGAATATTCGATGTTTTTCAGATTTCATAAAAAGAAGTACTGTGATTAATAAATTTTTATTAGATCAGTGCTGGAATTATCTCTGTTTAATTTACTAGCGACCAATTTCGATCGCCTGATTTCTTTCACTACTTTCATAGCTTATAAATCTACTAAATAACATGTATTTTGTTTTGAGTAAGGTGTTAAAGAATTGTACAATAATGCTTTATGTATAATACAAAACGTACTTTCATAGTTTTTAATAGTTAGATACGATCTTATCTAGAATCAAGGACAACAAATGAAATCTAAGAATGTCTAAAAGGCGTGAAGAGTATACTTACCAAAATAAAATTAATAGATCATTGAATGAATGTCTGATAGAATTAATCTGTAATTAATATTGTAAAGAGCTTAATTTCAGAATAAATGTGTAAATTACTTGATTATCTCGGGTTGTACATAATCCTGAATTTTATATTCATTATCGAGAAATTAGTTAATTATCTAGGAAAATTGTCTATGGAAATATTTGTTTTCATTGTATCAAAGATTATAATCATATCTCTTTTCAGGCAGATAATTGTAATTAATTACACGTATTGAAATCTGAACAGTATACCGTTACGACTATCTTGCCTTTTGTAAGACGACTGGTTCCTCAGTTGGAGCTACTATAAATACACGTTTCATTTGTTAAAATTATACTTTTCTACATTTAAATCAATTATTAATTTCAAACATTGACAAATATCAAATGGAATTTCTTATTGTACACCTACAAAAGTCTTCATACAATTTTATTTATATTATAAGTATACCTACGCTAAACCTTTCATGAGAGTAGGATGATGCATATTTAAAATAAAACAGATTTTATTTATTTTATCGAATATTCGAATATATTCGAATACTTTCATTGAATATTCGAATATGAATTATTGACAAATTTGACATCCCTAGTTAAAATTTTTTGTAGAGGCTTATATATGAAAATTATACCCTGAGAGCTATGTTTATCTGTCTCAACAAATCAGTTGAGGGTTCAGTGAGTTGTTTTCAAATTATGTTTTGCATACTCTGAAGACAGTCGTGTATTTTCTAATGGATTTAAGTGAAGAACTTCCATGTTCTTGAGTAATAGAAGTTCCATGTGATATTTGTAGCAAATCATGAAAAAGTCTGTAATTGGATGTAGATCAAAGACATGAAAGTGGGTAATTTTGTTTACATATCTGGGAGGAATATCATTCTAGCTGTAGTATGAATTACAAAGTATAAAATCTTAAAAAGTTGATCAATTTAAAAAAAAAAAATTCCTTATGTTACTTCATTTTAATTTTTGCCCAAGCAGATGTCAAAAAGAGAGAAAGAAAAGGAGAGTGAGAAAATACCCCAGCAGGTTTATAGCCTTATGCAAAACTAAAACTTACGATTGCAAGTGCTCGAAAAGAGCTACAATATTTGAAAAGCAATTTTTTCATGTATTGTTTTCAGAATAGTTCAAAGCTGGAAATGTATATCTTGTAATCATAGTATGACTTTTATCCATGTTGAAAAAACACTGAATATTTTAGAAAACAGTATGATTATAAATATCTAATCAAGGTGTTTTGAATAGCAAAATCAAACTACGTGTATACCGGTATAGCTAATTCAATCGCAGAACTTAATCAATTTTAAGATGCAAGAGACCTGTTCTCTTAATCATTCTTAAAATATTTATATCATCATTACAGATTCAAGGGAGAACTAGGAATATGACCAAAAGTCTATATCTATTCATAATTGGCTAATAAACATGTACATGTATGTTGTTACAAGAGTAAATAATGATGACAAGTCAGAGGTGGGGTTAATATTTACAAATTTAGGAGTTTTCAACAATTAAGATATGTAGTGACAACTCTCTCCCCTTTTCCCGCTTCCCAGCCCCCAGTTTGTTCATGTATGCAAACTAATGCTTTGTTTTTTGATATAAAAATGTGAATATATGCAAAAAAATGTGCACAAAGTTTAATAAAAAGAAATTGTGAATATGTGCAAAAATGAGCACAAAGTTTAATAATGCGTATCTCTGAATGATTTTCATTCCGTATTCTAAGATAGTGGGTTGACCCAAAATCATGAATGGAATGTGAAGTAATCTCATCATGGATGCACTTTTGAATTTGATGCAGGTCATATTGTGAACATTTCCAGTTCAAGGGGGTGGGGAATCTTGGGATGACCTCCAGGGGTTCATAACCTTTATACCATTAGATACACAATGACACAAGAAACAAAATTATGGTCAAGGGGAAAATTTTTCAACCTTTTTTGAGTTACATGATCATTTGTCGTTTCAGGGACAGGGGGTGGCCAGGGAGACCTCTGGGGGCAGGGGGTTCATGACCCCTTATACCCATTTAATCTGTCATTATACAAAGACGTCTTTGGGGTTTCAGATTTTATTTAAGGCTATACTATTGGTTCCATATCCAGAGAGTGGGAAACCCCCAGGAACTTGCTTCAATGTATAACTTGCATGTGGAATCCGATGATCTTTGACCTTTTTAAAACTATAATCTAGCCATTCGCATTTCAGATTATTTTACCCCATTCTTTTCCAAAGCTTGTACTTACCGCCTGTCATAGGTAATGTCAACTTCATTAAATATAATACAATTAAAACATACAGTGAATTTATTCCTACTGATATAATAATGTGTACACCATGTTTATTCCAATAATGCTAATGGTAAAACGATAATAATACTCGTAGGTGACGCAAGTCCAATGTGAGGCGCGGGTTCTAGAATTTTGAAAAAAGTGTACACATGTACAAATTTTATAATAATATAATTAAAAATGAACTTTTACCTAACTTTGTGCTATCTATTTCCAAAAAACAGGCAAATTTTGGGGAGGGGGTGGTGGTTTTGACGAGACCCATATTATTGATTTGAAAGTAACTTTTTCTTGCTAGGATAAGCCCCATGTGCTTTTGGTGGGCATGAGCTCCACCCCATCCTCATTACATGTAATATAATTTAGACAAATTGGCTCAATGGAATTTTTTTTTACACGTAACGTCGTTTTGTTTCTGAATCATTTATTTTTCCAGCACATTATGAATGTGTTTAATAAAAGATAAAATAAACATTTTATTTAAAATCCTACTAACAGCTTCATAAAATATGATAATATGATAACGCGATTTTTTTTCTGTAAAACTTTATTCTACCTTCTTGGCATAACGAAATGCAACACAATAAATTGACAGATCACATAGTTTTCTCTTACATTTTTGCACAGGATACTTAAAAGAATAAGTCGTACGCAATTTTGCAATCTATATGTATTTAGGAAAATACAGAGTTGAACCGTTTGAAAACGTTCGCGCCATCTAGCGTTCCTTCATTTAGCTGTTCGTTTTGTATTTCAGTATAATTTTACAAATTAATTTGTTCGTTTTGAAGTAAGGTATTTTTTCACACTTTCCACAGCCCTTATTTTCTAATTGTACGCAATCCATGTTATTAAGTGACATATTAGAAGAAACAAATATGTATATACTCTGTATCAATCTTTTATTATCATATTGTGTTTCTATGGACTATATATTAAGAATTTTCCATAATTAAAAAAGTTATCTAATTTAATTAATCGTTCATTTTAGGCGGGAAATTTGATGAAGGATCTCTGTCAGAAAAATAATATGTGGTATTTTAAAGGAATGTGCCAAAGTCTTGAATGGAAAACAGCGACAAAGTCGGATACAGAAAGGTTAATTCCTACATATCTTCTCTCTCTCTCTCTCTCTCATATGAAATATATTCAAAGTGATTTATTTTAAATTAAATGAAAGTAATTGATCAAAATACTTATTTTCAGTCTCGCGGGGAATTTCTTAAAAACGGTAATATACTACGAGGATTTGAATTATGAAAAAATTACTGAGGAACCTCTTTATGACGTAAGTATATCAGATCTGTTACAGGAAAATGTTGACAGGCCAAATCACTTCATAAGCATTTCGGTCTATTACAGCGAGATATTGACAGGTCAAACGTCTTTGTTTGGTCTCGGACTAGAATGACGCTTTCTCATTTGCTGACGGACATTACATGCCTGTCTTCAATATTTCTCTGGACGGTTAATTTCAAATTTTGGACAGCAAAATGGCGGATAAACCGATGTTATGTTGTCCAAATTTTAGGGAAAAAAATAGCTTTAAAAGAAACCGAAAAATTCATTACGTTCTTACCGATTTGGCAATGCTGCGATTAAATTTAGAGTATCACGCCTTTTCAGTGTCACATCAGTAAAAAAAAAAAATGGATGACAAATGAAGGAAATTGAGAAAATCGTTTAATTTTATTTCGGAAAGGGGGGAGGTGTTTACTGTTATTGGTCCTCGACAAAACAAAACTGTTATTAGGTTTGTTACTGACTGTCCATGGACTTGAACAATCCGTAATATTTCTGTGGACAGTCTCTAACAAACCTAATATTACGACATGCTTATTCCACGTCTATCACAGAAAACACTCATCTCCTTAGTATTCGATATTATTTAATAAAAAAAATATTACCCATTCCAGGCGGAACTTTTGGCCCCATGTATTTGATTTATGCACCTGTGGTTACTTACCAATATTAACATTTGCTGATGTTTTCCTTAACAGTGTTTCAGAAATGCATACCTAAACCCTTATAACCACAGGAGTCGGCATTTTTATCCATAAAGAGAAAATAAACGAGAAACAGGCACAAATCCTAGCAGACCAGAGAGCTTCTCGAGAAGTTCCCATTCTCAATTCTGAGTGACGTCATATACTCTGTCGGAAATATTATTTTGAATAAAATTGATACCAGTATACAACTTATTATAAAATATTTACTAATGTATTGCAGTTTTCGTTAATTCTTTAATGTTAAAACTGGGGATGTCAAATCGGTAAATATTTGATAATCGGTTACTCGGCCAGTTTTCTATAGAGTATTCGGGTACTCGGTAAAAATGTAAATACAAAGGTGTCAATTTTCTTGAGATGTTTTTATTACGTTTATAATGCATGTATATAAACATAACCGAATAAATTATTTTATTAAAGGAACACAAAAGATATCAATTAATAAACAAGGCACGTAATATCTTTTCTAAAAGTGGAGGGGACCCCCCCCCCCACAAAAAAAAAGTTGATACCTACCTCGAAAAACTCTGAGAAACACAAAAAAAGGGAAAAGTGTCCAAAGTAGAAAAATCCTATTCCTTAGGTTGGTTCTTTCCCCCGTATACGCTAAATTTACTTCGCGCAGCTGACTTTTATCATTTTTTTTTAAATCTTCAGTCATTTCTAAATATTTCTCCACTTTTGAAGTGGGTAGGCATCTCTACGTATGTTCGATTTTGCTACCGTATACTAAAAAAATAATTTAAAAATAAATAAAATGGAGGCATGGGGTAAATGAAAAGAAAAAAAAATGTCAGGAATTAATAAATCAACACTAGGTATGTTTTTTGGTGTTTCATGTTGGTAAAATAGCGAATTAAAGAAAACTCGTTGCCATCCTGTTGCTAAGCTCGCAAAGCTCACTGGTAGGATTTATGCCCTGTTTCTCATTTATTTTCTTTTTATAGATAAAATTGCCGACTCTTGTTATAACTCATTGTAATTCATCAACTATCGTAATTTCACAGTGACGTCAGAAGTGGTCGATGTGTTCAACACATTCAATTTAATCCCTTGAGGTTTGAAAAAAAATCATTTAATGGGTTTGAAACTAAAATACGAAATTATTTGTTATAAATCAGTTATATGTGTACATGTAAATATAAGTGATAAGGTATCATTTTAAAACATTTATCGGGATATAAATACGGGTTGGTACATGATTAAATCATCTACCATATAACCCTTTGGAGTTTGTGGGATTCGATCGCGTGACCAACCCGTACTATTATCATGATAAATGTTTAAAAATGATACCTTATTTTTTTAAATGTTATGAGCACAATGTAAAGAGTATATATTGACTTGGCTGCAAATAAACTGAGTTGACCAAATACTATTGAATTTAGATTTTTTTTTTTAATATTGTTTAAGTCAACGTTGTATGGAATCAAAACAATGTGGAACCGTTTCAAAGACCTACTTTTCACCTTAATTTTTTATTGAGGACTTTTGGACACAATTTCAATTGAATTTATTTTTTTTGATTCAGTTTAGATTATGACAAGATGCAAGATGCTAAATATGCTACATAAGCAACCTGTTGATTTTACGGTCTAAATGTTTTAAGACGATAAAGAAATAAGTTTGAACAAGATAATGGGCAATATTTGAGAAAAAGTGTCATTCAAGTACTCGTACTTGCTAGAAGGAAACTAGGTAAGAATAAAGCTGTAAAGTTCAGGGTCAAACTGTGAAAGGTCAGTAGACTGATACGTTTTAAGTTTTTTTTATTATGTATGACCAGTCAGTCTCAGATTGGATACTGTTAGTTATGTATCACTTACAGGGGTAATACGGAAATGTATGGGGTCCTAAAAATGCAAATTAGGCGAGGCGTAATCCTTGCGAGGTCAAGTTTACACAGTATATGGAAATTGATATTTGGTCAGTAGGTCACGTGGAGTGGGATATTAATTTGATATCTGGTCATTGTATCACGTGAAGGGGGGGATAATAAAAATATCATGTCAGTTGGCAGTATGATATGGTTTTATCAACTTTTATGCAATGTTCTTCTCGACCAATGAAATTCCAAGATTTTTATCAGAGGCAAGATTAAGAGAGATATCATGTTGCAAGAGAAAGTAGTCAAAAGTCAATATAACTAGAGTTAAGTACTGACAATGTAGTTAACACCATACCAGTTCAGTATTTGAGATTAAGTTCTCTTGGTTTTAAAAAAGGAGGGAAATGTCCTGCTTTATTGTGGCCATCTTTATGATATTTGTGCGATTCTGATCATATTTGCTTTCTTCATCATTATGTGGGTTTTTCTTTCTATTTTTAGGGGTTTCAGCTAATCTCAGATATAGGCGGAGCCCTAGGACTCTTTATGGGAGCCTCCATCTTAAGCTTTGTAGAGGTTTTGCAGTTCATTATAGAACTGCTAAATTTTCTTTTGAAAAAAATTACTCTCCAAAGATTATTCGCCAAAAACACAAAAGTTCTTGATTTTAAGGAAGAAAAGGAGTACAACAAAGAGAACGATTCACAAGCCTGAAGGGACTGCTGTTGTTAATGATTTTTTTGATGAAAAAATATACATGTATTTTACAGATACATTTAATATACTACCTTTAAAGTAATCACAAAACAATACTAGTACAATAGGCTACAATGTTCACTTGGGTCACTTAATCCCTTCCAGACATTCTTTTTAAAAATTCCCTCTGTAAATATTCCCTGGGAAAATTTGGATTCTATATTGTGGCCCCAGCCTAACTCCAAGGGGTCGTGTCTAATGCAAACTACACGGGCATTCTGAATGTCTGTATGACTGTGATCTTGCTGATCTGGAGATTTTTTAAACATATTTTTCTGTGTATGCAATGTCAAATAATCACTGATTTTGGTGTTCTTAAAAAACGATTTTAAAGTATGTTTCCCTAAATATTCCCATGAAAAACATCCATCCCTTATTATGGTCCATTCTTACCTTCAGGAATTGTGTTTGAAAAAAAAACTTGAATGTGAATATTGATAAGAGCTTTTCAACTGCATGAACAGTTTTGTTTTGCTTCGCGGATTATAAAGCGTAAACTGACCCAAACCAGGTTATACTCGAATAATTTGGCCAAGAATTAGAGTCATTCCTTATAATTTAATTTTCAAATCATTAAATAACTATGGGTGTAAAATTTCGTTGCTTTTTATTAGTTCAAATTTGCCGCTCAATAATACAACCATAGTAACGGAAGTGATGGGAAGCGAGGGGAGGTAAAAACTGATACATAGGCCTAGCAGCCTTGTTGTTTGTTTACATGTGGTAAGATCGAATTATTGTTTGAAGTTAAAGGTACATTTATTAAATCTGGAATTTTCCATGAATCCCAAGGACTGGAAATGAGCTAGAGGATTGTATGGATACAGATGATTCAGCTGGTTGTCAGGGGGGTGTGTCCTCATACCAAACCAGGTTATACAGAAATAATTTGTGTTCGTTTTTGGATATTAACCAATCAGAGGCTAGAATACAAACGAAATTAAATTATTTTTTTTTACCTTGACCTTCTCTATTTTCTTAACCTTGCTATTTTTAAATTTGCGTTAAGCTCAGTTTCAAATAAACTAATCAAGGACTGTTTATCAAACTTTATATTCTTTTATATTTTGATGAGTGCTATTGAATTGCATCAATTTTTTTTAACCTTTAGCTTCCCTTGAATTGACCTCACTTTCTTAAATTTGCATTTAGCTCAGTTTCAAAAAAATATTCAAGATATATTTATCACAGGTACTTGTGGACAGGAACCCCCCCCCCCCCTCCAATATGCCCCACAGGTCAAAAAATATTTTTAAGTATTTTTTTCATAAATTATTCTAGTACACATTTACAATGTATTCCATAAGAAAAATCCCAAAAATAACACAGAATTAACGTTTTACTAAAAAATCATACCCGCGGTATTATAAAATAGAGAAGGTAAGTCACTTCCATTTGTTTACACTGGACCCCTCTTGGATATCAGGCCCGAAATATCATTTACCTAATACATGTCACCGAAATGTGTCATGATATCTTGTTTCGGTAGATATTTTTGTCTTTAATCGTGCTATTTAATTGCCCAGGCATCCCATAATAATCCGAGTATTCATCGTCAAACGTGAAAAATGCTACAAGATTTGGAAATGTCAGAGTAGAAATTACGGAAGTGATGCAAAAACGACACCTAGCGTGTAACTCTCGAGTTCCGAGTGTTATAGAACTAAGGGAAAAGTCAGAGGTCTACGAAAAAGTTCGGCAAAATTTTGATAAAGAAGTCGAAATTGATTCATTAGAATTAAGTTCTGCTTAAGATTTTCGAGATGAGCGAGGGTAGTCGTCAATATTCCCTTTAAAGGATGTTATCAATGATACCAAGTAGCGGTTTAAAAATCGCTTAAACATTATAAACTTGACATGTAAACCCCCCCCCCCCACCCACTCCACCTCGACCGCCTTCCCCATCTGCGTGGACATGGAATTTTCATTAAATTGTGTCTGCGGAAAGGTGGATATCCGTTAAACTAATGTGGTAGTAAATATAATATTTAGAATGATAAACTAGTTTTAAAAATAAGTAAAGACAGAAATGTGATTATTTAAAACTGTACAAAAAATCTCTTTTTTTCCCCATTTGTTATGAATTCGCTACATGTATTTAATCAATATTGATTAATTTGGGGACGGGGGCTGTGCAACGTCATTACAAGTTACAGTGTTGGAGAAAAACAAATTGACCGGTTGATGAATGGTTGTACAACCCATGCAATATTTAAACGTCAATTGCTACGTAATACAAGTTGCAATTATCTAACTATGACTGTTAGAAAAGACGTACCTAAAGAACTTTTTAAAAAGTCTTTATTTTATAGAAGTTAAGCTTCCGTTTGTTCAATTAAAATAATAGCAGCTTGATATATATGTAATCAAGGCCAGAAATAAACTCAGCAGTGCGACGCGAAAGTAAAGAAGAGCATGAAAATTATTTTTAAAAAAAAATGGGGTTCTGATTTTCATTCTTAAGAATTAATTTTGAAAAGACTCACATTTAAATTCCTTGGTAAATGATAATCATCGCATAAGAATATTAAAAAATATACATAATTATTAAGCTTAATATTATCGGAATTAATTGCAAGCATGTCCATGTAGAAAGGGAAGGGGGGTTACATGTCTTGTAAGTTGTAAATAAATGTTTAAGCGATTTTTAAACCGCTACTTGGTATCATTGATAACATCCTTTAAAGGGAATATTGACGACTACCCTCGCTCATCTCGAAAATCTTAAGCAGAACTTAATTCTAATGAATCAATTTCGACTTCTTTATCAAAATTTTGCCGAACTTTTTCGTAGACCTCTGACTTTTCCCTTAGTTCTATAACACTCGGAACTCGAGAGTTACACGCTAGGTGTCGTTTTTGCATCACTTCCGTAATTTCTACTCTGACATTTCCAAATCTTGTAGCATTTTTCACGTTTGACAATGAATACTTGGATTATTATGGGATGCCTGGGCAATTAAATAGCACGATTAAAGACAAAAATATCTACCGAAACAAGATATCATGACACATTTCGGTGACATGTATTAGGTAAATGATATTTCGGGCCTGATATCCAAGAGGGGTCCAGTGTAAACAAATGGAAGTGACTTACCTTCTCTATTTTATAATACCGCGGGTATGATTTTTTAGTAAAACGTTAATTCTGTGTTATTTTTGGGATTTTTCTTATGGAATACATTGTAAATGTGTACTAGAAGAATAATTTATGAAAAAAATACTTAAAAATATTTTTTGACCTGTGGGGCATATTGGAGGGGGGGGGGGGGGGGTCCTGTCCACAAGTACCTGTGGTAATGGTGTGTTCACATTATGGCAATTTTATGCTAGATCAAGTCAAAAATTCTTAATTTTATGTAAAAATTCATTATTTTATGTCAATAGCAACTCATCTATTATACAAATATTAACTGGGTTTGAGGGCAGCGTTGATTATGTTATCCCTGAAGGGATGAAATATTGCGGAACGGGGGCAGTATTTTCATCTCGAGAGGGCTAACATAATCAGTGTTGCCCCCAAACACCGTCAATCATTGGTTTGTTATGCTTGCGAATCTTCATGTTGCCATTTGTTTATTATGTTTGGAAATCACGATGTATCATTACTTAACAATAAATTAATCTACCAAATAGAATCAAATTGTGAGAGAACTCTCTTTGCCGGTCAATAGTTAAATGACCGTCAATTTTTTTCAGAGGAGCTAATATCAACTATGTTGACTGCTTCTCTATATAGAAACTATTCTTTACTGAATATAACAATATTATATATATATATATATATATATATATATATATATATATATATATATATATATATATATATATATATATATATATATATATATATATATATATATGTATGTATGTATGTATGTATGTATGTATGTATGTATTTCAATATCTGTATTGGATTCCGAAATTTCATAAAAATCCTTACAAACAAAAATACATAGCAGGTTCCAGTAAATCTTTCTTTACTCCTTACTAAAATATCAAAACTTACGACTTTTCAGCTCTAAGTACAACCATTCCCCACAATAATTTAAAGTCCAGACTTTTTGACATCATTGACAGCTGCTTTTTCAATAACAATGGAATTCGTAAATTCACTCACTTTGTCATTGGTCATTTGCTAGATTATTTTGTTAAAATACATTCTGAGTGTACACACAAGTACACTGAAGTTGATATTAAAAAATGTAAATATTAAAAAAAATATTAGATAAAAATTAGATATTAAAAACATGCTTGAGTTTCTGATTGAAAATTTCTATGCGGTTTTTGGAGACAAGGTCTTCCAACAATCTGTTGGAATTCTCATGGGTACCTCATGCGCCCTGTTATTAACAGACCTATTTTTGTATTCATATGAAGCAGAATTTATTCAAAATTTTATACATGAGAAGAAGAAAACACTTTCTGTGGCCTTCAACTAGACATTTAGATATATCAACGACGTATTATCAAATAACAATAGTTATTTCCATTCATATGTCGACACGATATATCTCAGTGAGCTTGAAATAAAAGAAACTACAGAGTCTTACACATCTCTTTCATATTTGGATATTTTACTAGAAAAAGACGTTAATGGTAACCTAACAACTAAGCTTTATGACAAATGTGATGACTTTAAGTTTTCAATGGTCAACTTCCCTTACTTATGCAGCAATATACCGAGTACCATTATCACCTGCATAGGGGGTTTTATGTCTCAGTTGATTCGATACGCAAGAGCATGCTCTACCTATGAACAATTTCTAAAACGAGGTAAGTTATTGACAAACAAGTTGATGAAACAAGAATATCAACAGTCTCGTTTAAAGTCATCATTTCGTAGTTTTATGGTCAATACAATGACCTTGTCGGCAAATACAATTTATCACTGAGTCAAATGTTGACTGGCGTTTACATACTAATTGTTAGGCCATTATTTACAGACTGAATTGACT